ATAATAGCCGGTTAAAAATCAAGGCAAAACCGGGTAAAGACAAAACCGCTTGCGCTGATAAGGAATCGAATAAGCAAGATCTACTTTGTGTTCGGACGAATCTGAATCAGTTCGTGTTTGCACTGACTTAGAATTATTCTGGAGCTACTCGATTCAACTGGCCGCGTATTCAAAAAGATTTCTGTTTTTCTACAGTTAGGCACGGTATTTGAATAAAGGAATTGTTCTGGCTACGAAAACTATGCATATTAGTGTCTTTTTCCTTTTCTTTTATATACAGGTTAAAAACCACTGTTACTAATTCCCAACCCTTCATTGTCTCGTATTTGATCCGCGACCGCTTGGATCCGTTTCAAATCTGGTACATATAGCAGATTCACTGTGGATCTAACTAATCAACTTTGAACCAGATACCAATCTGTACTCATTTTGGTACAAGGCCATCGGGAACAGGGCTAGAGTGAACGTTTCTGTCTTGACTTTCCTTTGTGTATTATGGCCGACCCCTTTCACAGCAAAGAATATGGATCAACATGAAACATTGTTTTACAAGTATTTAGAAATAGAACAACATTTTAAAAATGGCATTTATCGGCGTGTTCTCTAGAAGCCCGTAGAAAGCTGCTTGAAAACCCTCATTTTAGTCCACCACAATTCTTTTGCGTCGGCTATACCCCTGCTTTGGTACAAAATAAAATAGCTCAACCTTTATTCTGACACAATGGATTGTAGCTGCGTTGTTTATACCATTCAATCGACTACAAGATTGTTTATTCGTTTCTTGGATGATACAAGAGGTCACTTATTTGTTTCTTTGTTGATCACTATCTACCTTTGACCCAGGCGCAACATGTTTAACAATAGTGACCTGAAAATTCTCTTAGATAACTTCAGCTTTAATTAAGCCTCCATATAGGTAATACGCCGAGGGGATTATGACTTAAATTTTCAATGGCAAGTTGCTTTTGATCTCTTTTGCATTTTTCGTTCTGAACTTGGCCCGTTTGGAGCGGCCTTTTTATTTTAGAACCCTTTTTGTTTCTTCAAAGACCGAAGAGGACAACAAAAGTTTCTAAAATGTATATGTTGACATTGATGATTTGAGGTTCTTTCCAGATATCTCCTGGCCACGATATCTTTTGCTGATATATCAATATATATAAATATATATAATAAAATAGAATATTTTATTATAGTCTAGAAATGAGACATGTTCTCTGTTACTCCGAGTTTCGTGCTTGGGCACTCATCAGACAGACTATAATGAAGAATATTCCTGTTACTGCGGTATAAATATACAAAAGGTGTGATAAAGTTAGACAAAAGAAATTTTATTTAATACAGGTTAATTAGTTAGGTGGAGTTCTATTGTTCATGAGATAAAACTTGTTTTCGTGTCGGCATTTGGAGATTAATTGGGATCGTTTGTTTAGAAGAGTGTTGTTATTTGCTTTGATGATGTATAGTTTTTCAGTTAAGCACAGGTCACACCTTTTTGTAATATTGTTGTATGGTTTGAATGAGGTGATGATGGTCCATTGTATGTCATAATCCTTGTTTTTGTCTTTAAGGTCCCAGATGTATTTTGATAGTTCGGTGCTGTTGGCGTATTTTCGGTTGCGGAATGAGAGTTTGTGTTGTGTAAATCGTTGTTTGAAGGTTCCTTCTGTTAGGCCAATGTAGTTTTTGCTGACAGTGTCTTCGGTTCTAGTGATATGTGCGTTGTAGATGATGCTGGAAGAGAGGCAGCTGTTGTCTAGTGGGCATTGGTCTTTTTTCGGCAGTTGCATGTTTTCTCGTTGCTAGTGGTGGGATTGGTGTTGATGATTTTCTTGTTGTGTTTGTCGATGATGGTTTGCATATTATCCATACAGCTGTAGCTTACTTTCACGTTGTTCTTGTTGAAGATCTGATGAAATTTGTGATTCTTGGGGAAGTGTATTTGTATGAGCTTGAGGAAAGTTCTGCCGATGTTAGTTTGTACATTCTTGCTGTATGGTGGATTGTACCAGATTATGTTGCGCTGTCTGTTTCTTCTTTTTCGTGTGGGTGAAAGAAGAAACAGGTCATCTACATCGCACATATCACAACAACCGAAGACACTGTCAGCAAAAACTATATTGGCCTTAAAATACGATCCGAAAATACGATCTATACTATATATATATATATACCATCAAAAGCTCATGCACCGAGTGTAATAAAAATAACATAGATATTCAGAAAAAACACTATCGCTTAAACGTTTCGACCGAAGTCTTCATCAGTAATACTTTACAAATCAAACGGAGCTAACATATATAAAATCAATACAATAGAATTGATACATATATATATATAATCATAAGGCAAATGCTGACAGGAGGAAAATTCTTTCCACAAGGGTGCTGCCCAATTGTATCGAACTACTCTTGGTCGGAATCGAACTCCTGTCTGCTGCGTCGAAAACCCCCGCTCATTCCACTGAGCCATATATATATATATATATATATATATATATATTTATATATATAATTTAAGTTTGACCAGCTGTATTAATTAGATAAACAGGGGCGATGCTAGAAAAGTTTCTTATGGATGTGTAAAGTGTCAGGTTGCCGAGTAGATTTTTCAAGTAGAAAAGAAAGGCATGGTGTCGAAAATAAGATTTCCAAAAAAAGAAACCGGACTTTTTGGTACATAATGTACGAAGCGTTGCCTTTATTTTCCTGTCCCCGAGCTTCGAAATAGCTTAGAAATTTTTGATTGGGAGATAGAGGCGCAACTCGCGAGCACGTAGTCTTAAGTTTTGTACATTAAAGGCTCTGTTTCTGATTGTGATTTGAGACTGTGATTTAGTGACACCAGGCAAAAAAGCTAGAGTAAAGAGCCTCTTCCATCCCCAATAAAATGCACCCAGTGAAGTTTCAAAATATTATAGGTAGTCTTTGGTAGGGCCAGTTCCAGGGATACAGCATAGCAGGGGGGGGCGTATTTGTTCCGACGGTGGCGAGCCGTTAAGGGGCAAGGCTAAAAAGGAGTCTCACACTGACAAAGGTAGCAGCTCTTGGCCACAACAGCTGCATATTGAAGAAAATAATAACATGAAAGCAAACGTTGGTCTACCAAATTTAGGGGGTTCACTCCCACGCTCCCTGGATTCGGTCCTGTTTCGAGAGCAGGAGACCATAATCATGTTAAGAGAGCTGTTAAGGCTACAAAAAACATTTCTGACTTTCCTATTTTTTGAAAGAAGTTATTTTGAAGGCATTTTTTAAATATGTCAGGCTATCTGGTATCGACTCGAAGGCAAAATGTCTCCCTCAAATTCATTTTAAATTAGGCTTCTAAAATTGCCTTGATTAAAGAGATTTTAGGTTTTGAAAATAAATATTTTACAATCATTACCACATAATTGTTAAGGTGCTTCCCTCGCTCAAAAAGAAATTCTATCTACTACAATCCTTGACAAAAGTCTTTGGAACAACCTGCAGCCAATTAATATTTTTGATGAAATAGCGGTTTCCAGCCGTATGATGCAGAAATATCCCCCTCCCCCCAAAATAATGTTGATTGAAAAGCCTATTGCTTACCCTACAATTCCGGACAAAAATGGTTGAGACTTTTCAAGGAAAGCTTATATTTTTACTTTCCTTTCAATAATAACTCCCCCCCTCCCCCAATTCAATTTTGAATGCATGATTTTGCAGGAGAAATGATAGAACTACAAATTCAACATTGAATCGGGGGAAAGGGGGGATTTGAATTTATAGGGGCGAAATAAAGTAAAAAATTGCAGAAATTGCATTTTTTCTCAACAATTTTGTCCGGGATTGTAGCTGATGAAGTGGCATTGGATGAATTTCAAGCTTTGAAACTGTTGTTATTCAAATTTTTTTTAAGGGGAAGAGGGGGATGCTACTGACGTTAAGCGAAAATTTAGCTTACTGTACCAAGACTTTTGGCAAGGATTGTAGTTTAACAAACTTGTGTTTGTAACCGGAGAAAGCTTAGCAAGTTATTATACGTACTTCGCTAGAAAACTGGCTTTGAAATCCTTCAGTCCCACAGATTCACAAGGCTTGGCAACTATGAATGAAGTTCGTGTCTCCCTTTTTTCATGAGACATTTCAATTAAAACTTTTAAAATAGTGTATTTAGGTAATGATATGTGCTGTATAACAGACAAATCATAACTATTATTTTTCGACGACTATTTATTTTTTTCATAGTTGATTGATTTTATTTATTTATATTTAATTTTTCATGGTTGATTGGTTCTTTTTATTTTTATTTAAAGCATGGTTAAAGGACGTTGGTTGGTTTGTGTTTTACAGCCTCGAGTCCATAAATTCATTGCGATCTTCGATCCTCGTTTGCAAAGAGAACTTTGACTCCCTGTTTCCTGAAAAAGGAACTAAAGTGGAAGATCAAGTGACTGTCACAGACGATGTCCCTAAACTCTAGTGTTTCTGTGACAAAAGAGCGCTAATTTTTGCTGAAAACCCTTGTTCAAAATGGACAAGCTTGTCAGAAAGACTGGTGGCCAAATTGATGGTGAGATTTTGTTTTGTCTTTAAACGCCTCCACCCTAGCAGAGTAATTATTTACAACTGAGGGAGCCCTGCTGATACTTTAACGTACCTCTTAGAGCGACGATAACCTTGAGCAGTTTAGAAGAAATTTACAATAGCCTTTCGTGTTGAATATGCTTGATTGCGAATGAGTGCTAGTTTTCCAACTAGGTCAATCGCAATGTCACTTAACTTTATGCTTGTGAATTCAAAGATGGTGCTATTCTTGATAATATTTTGTTTGATTTGTGCACTAAAAATTCCTAACATTTTCTGAATGTCTAGTACTCGCTTCATATAGCAAGTTTCTTAAAGAAAAACGAGTTTATTGTGTTTATGACATGGTATAAAATTTGTTGCATGCATCTAATGGCTGATGTAATATGCACTATTATTCAATGACAGATGTACACTGGTGACTGGCCTTGATGACAAGAAGCAACCCTTATCAAATTTTACTATGTGACATTGCAATGTAATTTCTATTGCTATGTGATTTTGCTATGTCATTGCTATGTGATTTTGTTATGTCATATGAGTTTTGCCAGGAAAGCCCAACTCCCCCTTAAATTATTAATGATCAAACACACAACAATTTAACTATTAGCATCTGTGAAATTATTGAAATAATTGTTATTGCTTACATTGGACCTCCAGTTTACCAGATTAAAAAGAGGATTACCTGCCACAGCAATTATAGGCTCTGTATTGAAGTCATTTTAAAATGACAAAGAAAGTTATTAGATTACAAATTTGATATGACTGAAATAATAATTGTCATGATCGAAAAACTTTTTCCTAGAAATGGTAATTGCATTGATTGATGTTGCCCATGACAAGAAACAGGAAGTTAGAGATGATATCTCAAGGACTTTGGTTGAGCTTGGAAAACGACAGCCATTTTTGGTTCTCAGTTCTTGTAACTCATATTTGAATAAGCACCAAAGGGTTTGCATTTTGTTTCTACTTATTTACGGTGAATTAATCTGTTAAATTTGTTTGGGAGAAGTATTTATTTATTTTCAGTATATATCTTATACTTTTGTGGCTAAACAGACAAGGGATACATTTTTGTATCTCCTTGGTCAGTTTTCTTGTTTGTGTTTCTCTAAGATTTATGCATCCATTATTTTGTCCTACTCTGTGTTGTATTGGCTTTAAACCATTACATAGATAATGCCTTTGAAATGTGATTTTGAGGATGATTTACCACAACTTTTCAGTGCCCATATAATGGTCTTAGTTTTGCTTGGCATGCAAATCAAAAGGCCACAATATCTGTGGACAGAGTGAACAAGCTTGAGATAGGGATGCACATGGTTGGCCTTAAGTTTTTTATTTAAGTTGTATGATTGTATTGTCTTTTAACAGCAGACAGACCAAAAGTTTACCAACATCCTTTTGAATTCCTAGGTTTGTTGATACCATTTCATTAGGCTACAGGGGGCAGGAGTTAAACAGCCATGTAGCATTTTATATAACAAAGGAAAGGAATTCAGTACTGTAAGCCAGGCCTTTCCCGAAGTTGTGGGCTATAGCCTGCCCCCACGCAAACCCCACGCAAAAAAGTTTTGCAAGGGCTTCTTTCCGCCCACGCAGTTGTTTATAACAACTTTTCACTCTCTAATGTTTTAACTACTTACTGCTATATATCAGGGTTTTCATAAATAACATCCTGTCAAAGAGATATATGGTTTTTATAAATATCATTATAAAAAGGAAATTTTTGTTTCTTTTGACATCAAATGTTAACAAACTATAGTATTACCTGTTACAACTAGCAAAGGAATAGAAAATGGTTGTGTAGGATAGGAACAACAGATAGCGTAAAATAGCAAAAATGAGAATTGTTACACAACACTGTCAAGTACGAAATTTGTGTTACGAGTACACTCATTTTTTATAAGAAACATGCTATAAGAAATGATAACTGGGCAATCAGAAAAATATTAAAAAAGTCTCAGAAATAATTCGTTTTTGCTCTTTGACTCTTCAACAAGGTGAGAGGTAAGCGGTTGGGATTTGTCAAATATAGAATCAATCATTCACCCTTTCTGAACTCTCTTGTTACTTTCGATCAGATTTCTGCTTCCCTTTATGCTTTGAGGTTTATGTATATATTATTCGCCAACTTTTATCAGATATCTCTTTTGTCATTTTAAGGAGTAGTAATGCACACAAAACAACAGTCTTCTTAAGATAAATCATGTTTACAAGTAGACAGTAATATATTTTTTGGCTTGTATATACTCAAATATAAATAGATAAACAACAAATTCTGCAAGGGCTAAAAAGCCCACCCAGCCAATCCAGCAGGGGTCTTTTTTAGCCCGCATGCTTTTTATTCCCAGAAAGGCCTGCTGTAAGCATATTTTCCTTTGTTGGATTATTGAAAGACAAACATTTTAACATAATTGTGAGTAACAATGACAAGCCTTCTGCAGTAGGTGATGAATGAGGTCTAGTACCATGGTGTTCATGAAGAGCTTATTCATTGCCAAACATTCAAAGATGAATAGGGTCTGACAGCCAGATATTTGCTGTGGTGTGTTCTGCCACCCTTCCTTCTATTTGTTTTCATCATAAGTGAAACATGTTTGTGTCTTTATCATACCGTAGAAGTAAAATGATACTGTAGAAAAATATTTCCTTTATAGATGAGACTAGACTAGTACAACCAGTACCACTGCAAGCCTCCAGTGGTGCCTGTGTTGTTTTTAGTGTTAAAAATAGTCATGTAAGTTCCACACTTCAAAAATCAATGCTCATTTTCCATCTTGATGACTGACACATTTTAATTTTTTCCTTATATAATTAAAAAATGTCAGAAAGTTGTAGTTGTATTTGTGAGCAAGTTTAAGAACTTGATTTCCTAAGGTAAAAAGCCTGTTTTACTAATGTCTTTTTACTTTAACCAGCTGATACAAGGCCACCGGATTGTTCTGTTAGATGCAATGGCAAGAATCATAAGAGATACCTCTAACTGGGAAGACATTGATTTGACAAAAGAACTGATACATCTTGCTTCCTCTGAAATGACAAAAAGTAAGGTATGGAATCTATTGGTGTATCATTTGCTTGGCTGCTAGAATTTAAAAATGTGTTTGCTTATAACTGTGTGACAAAGTTTTATTATTTCTACCTAATATTACTTTTTATGATGATTCTGTTATGAGTAGACTGCAGAATATTGTTGGGTTAGGTTCATGTCATGTTCATGGAGAAATCTAACATTACTTTCCTCAACTTGTAGCAACCATTGGCATCCCCATTTATAGGAACATGTCTTGATGTTATATCAACTCTATTACTTGCTTCTGTTGAGTGTGCTGCTGTTTTTAGATCTAGTTTGAACATTCACAAAACATAGAGCCAGCAAGGGACAATGCTACATGACTGTTGCATCTTGATTCATTTACTGACTGACTTACATTACATGGCATATACACATACAACAACAGTAATGTTGATTAAGATACTGTGGAGACAATTTAAGGTGTGTATTAGAGAGGTACAATGAAAGAAATGATAACAGTTCCACAATAGTCACTACAAACTCTAATCCTCCTTTCTATTGTGCCGTTTCCCACTGTCTTCTAAGAAATAGTGCTTTGGTTGCCATAAACCTTTGATTGCCAGGAGCATGGAATTGAGAACCATTGATGACCTGAATGTTTTTTTAATTTGCAAGAAACCAAATTTCCAAATACTATTACAACTAAGATTAACATAGAAAGTAACAGTAGGCAACCAGAAGAAAACAATTGAGGAATTTCCCTGCTTCAAGCAATATCATATGTATTTGCAAATTAAACAATTGCAGGTAATTATTTTGGCAATCCAATAAAGAGTAAAGTGAAAAAACCTGCTCTCCCTTATTGTCTCAAAGTAAATCAATTTTTTGCCATTAATCTAAGTGCTGTACAGTGAGTTTACAGATGTTTCGCAGAGACTGGTTTTTCATGATATTGTGATTTCCAGGAGCACCAGTGATCCTGTTTCATGTTTATGTTTTTCAAAAAGATATATTGTAAAATGAAATTCAAAAGCTTATCATGTTCATTGGGAGAATCCGACAATCTGCTGTTAATGAAATAAGAGCTTTTATTTCTTGTAAATGTGGTTTATTCTTTATGTCTTACTTTATATTGAATTACGTTCCGTTAGTCCAGCGATTGTCATTCTGTCATACTATTTGTTAGGTTTAAATCATATCAAAGCAAATACTGAGGTCTTTATTTTTTATACTTCTTCTATCTGTTTTGCACATCCTGTCTCAAAGGATAGGCATCTCTCTTTTGAATGGTCAACTATACTTTGCTATCGTTCTTTGATGATTTCCGATCAGACTAAAGTTTTTTAATTATCTTACTGACACCCTGATTTTTCTTAGAAATGGAAAACATTACTTTCATAGACAGTAGAAAACAAAAAAATATGATTTCAATCACTTTTACATGTTACTTGAAGGCTTAGTTATAAATGTTATCTACAACTTAAGCAAAATCTTATGTTTTTGACAGTATATATTACAAATTTTAATTAAGAAATGTATATTCTTTCCAGGACCTACAACCAGAATGGCAGACAGCTGCATCAAAAGTTTTGGTTGCATTAGGGTCAAAAGCTAGCAATGACGTCATGGATGAGCTACTGCAAAAGATTGTCCCTGGCACTTTGCCGCATTATTTTGTTGTTCTCACTCTAGCAAACTTGGCAACCGAAAATGGTATGTTCTTTTTTAGCAATCATATATTTTCCCTTTGATAAACATGGCTCCATCTCTAATGCATGTTCTTGTCAGAATTAACGTATTAAGTTATTTTACGGATGTAACGTAACCTTATTTTTTTATTATGGTTTCAGTGTTTGGTGTTGTTCCATTCTTGAAAGATATTTTCAGTAGAATGCTTGCTATGCTTGGAATGGTGAAGCAGGACAACATGAGATGGGTCTTCTCTCATTGTAAGTTTTCAATGATTTATGATTCATGATGGTATTTCCCACCGCGGTTTGGTCAGCACTGCATCATTGGCGATTTCTCTGTTTTCTTCTAGTTTACCGAAGCTCGGCACAATCTTTCTTTTGCTGTTGCATATAATTTCCAGCGTTGCTTGACAGCTATCATTTAATCTGTAGTGTTTCTTATTAACTTAAGCCATTAGATGGTGCCTGATTAGGTTTTATTGGTAGATTTAGCTTAACTGCCAGCAACGAGAAAACTACTATGTCTCAATAGGAACTGCATTTGTGTTAGTTTGTATATAGATGATATGACGGCAATCAGTTTATATTTGTGAAATGGTGTTGGCTGTGAGGGCTCAATGCAAGTGATGGCTCAACTTTGGAAAGCTATAACTGCATTGCTAAATTTCATTGAAAACCGCCTGCTTTCCCGTGCTGCTAGCTCAATGTTCAATTGCAAATGTGTATTGTGATCATTTCATTTCCGCATTTTATAGGCATTGGATGTTTTAGTGAGGCAATTCTGGACTACTGTGCAAACATTGAAAATGCTCCATATCCGGACATAACGAAGGATCGATTCTTTGGAGAAATCTATTCTGCCTACGAGATCATGTTTAATGTCTGGCTTCAGTCCAAGGAACCGAAGGTACGAGAACATCCACTGTATTAAAAACGCAAATATTTTCAGAAAAGAGAAGTATGATTATAAAACGCCCGATGCATTGAAATTTAATCGTAATCTGTTGTGCCTCTTTAAAGGTATATACACTCATAAAAATTCAATGTCTGCTTTCAGATTCGCCTTGCAATTGTCGGTGCTTTGGGTCACATGAGTCATCTCATGGCAAAAGACAAACTTGAAGAGCAAGCACTACGACTTCTCCAAGGAATTACCGCGATGTATAAGAAAAATCAGGAGCATCATATCATCACTCAGGTGACATATTTAATTGGCTTCAAGTTTTTGTCATGGTTGATGCTCTTTCCTTTTGGTTTTGATACATCGCCACCAGACCGCCTTGCTCTGTCCACATCTTGCTTTTCTCGCCCACCTCTTGATATTGTTAGACAGTATGTTTTTCTGTTCATGTAACTATACCTGCTTGCAACATCAAGCAATTCGCATTGCATTTTATGTCTTTCATTCTTTTTTTTCCGAAAAAAGATTACTACTTCCGCCCCTTCCCCCTAAAACAATGTTGATAGTTTAGGCAAATATCAAAAGAAGGTACTTCCTAATTCCCTTTGCTTTTTTGTAGTAAACCAACCTTGTTCTGTGGGGTAGAGGGAATGGCTGAATTTGACCTTGCAAACTGACTTCAGTGTTCCAAGACTTTCGGCAGGAATTTGCAGCCTTTTGCTGCTCATGTTTCTCTTGTTGAATAGATTTTCTGCACTTCTATCAATGTTGTTATCGAAAATTGATCATGCGGCGATTACTTCCAACTTGAACCACTGCTGATAGCCTGACGTTAATATGCTGTGAGCCACGCTCATCTGTAAACACAGACACTCTGCTTGTTTATTTGATAACTAATAAGTTATGCATGCTGAATGATAATTTGGTTACAAACCCAAATTTCCACTGTTACTTTCTAACTCAGAATGATAGGGGACCTACCGAAATGTTCATCTTATAACACAACCGTTTATCTGAAATGTTGAGTCAACTCTAACCGTTGTGTCATTTGCATACAACCGTTTACGTCGGTACTTTGTCTTAGTATTCCGGAATGTCAAATCAATAACCTTATGTCAATGTCGAATCAATAACTTCCACGAGATGAAGTAACGCCTGTTGTTAACTTCATTCTTCTTTGGTTTTGGCTATTTATAGGGTGGATAATTCTCAGCAGATTGCACTTTGATTCCGGCATTAGAACTCCAAAAATATGCTAGTCAAATGTCATGCTTGCCCTTATTTCGGGATTAGGGAAAGGCAATTATTGGTGCACTGTGGCCAGGTTTTGATAGATCTTTTGAGAAGCTGTCATCTCGAAGCTGCATCTGAGCTTACTTTCGATAAATTGTTTCGCAAAGTATGGTGCTTTGAAAAACGTTTGCGATTGTAGAATTTGAAGTGCAAAATGACTGCGATTTCTTCATTGGAACATATGTTTTCTATTCAGCTTTTCTCTGTCCAGTATTTCTGTTTGCAATCCTGCAACTATTTTATGGTTTTTAAGGATCTTTTTATTTGTTTCAGAGCATGTGCATGGTTTTGGATGCAGCAACAGCAGATAATTCTCAAATCCTGCTTTCCTTCTTAGACAACTTGCTAAATGGAATCTACGCACACGTAATGCAGAAGCTTTCATTTATTACCGCTTATGTGTTTAACAGCAAACTTTGAGCCACTTAACAAAAGGCACAAAGTCAACAGTTTCTAATGATCTTTTACTATATTATACCTTTTTATCATTTGTATGCGAACGACAAGAAGTATGATATGCCTCTGTGATGGTCTTCAGTGAATTTCTGCAATGTCAACAAACTGTTCGTGGCTGATTCATGTTTTAAATTGGCTACTTCCAGGACTTTTTAATGAAATGTGCACTTTTTTCTAGGCCTGCAATGAACCAAACTACGCGGACATCCATACAGTAAAAAACTACAACGAGGTCTTAAGATGTTTTCAAGTCTTAAGTAAGATTCATTTTTGTTTAAGAAAGGAAAATTTTGGGCTTTGAAACAGCGCAGCAATTCTTCTTGGATTTCCATGTCACGACTTATTGAAGATTGAAATTTGAAAACAAATCTGAAAACCAAGTGTATGCCAGATAATTTAACAATTCTGTTCAGCTTTTATCAATTCTTACTTGTGTAGTACCATTCGTGTGTCGGTCGTTTAGTACCTGGATATATTCTTTTCATTCCATGCTATTCCTTCATGGTATTCCTTTTTTCCCACTTTCTTTAAACTCCCAAAACTTAAGGCAAAGGGCCTACCGTATTTACAGAGAGTTTTTCAGCGTTTGACCAATCAAGCAAATAAGTTGTTTTTAAGCTCAAAATCGTCCTTGTTTTTTATTCTTTCAGCTTAAATTAATGACTCAAATTGCACCTTACTTGCTTTACGATGGAGAAACCTGTTTTATGATACTTGCAGTAATCAGATTTAGTTCCAGCTTTTGAATCTTCAAAAAATTATGTTGTTTTTATACTAAGCGTTTTTGAATTTTGATGCACTTATTTTCTGAAACTTTTAAAACTGAATTCCGTTTCATAGACCACGTTTCGTTTCGTTTAACCCTAAATTATTTTTTTAGCAAAAGCATTTTCGGATCGTGTTGTTGGATTTTTACTGCAAAAGCTGGAATCTGGAAATGAGAAGTCGAAAGCAGCCACTTTGAATGTGATGAGGCATATTATTTATTCGGCCGGTAATTGTCACTCATAACTATTTTTTTTAATTTTCCATTTTTTTAATTTTTAATTTTAATTTTTAATTTAATTTTTAATTTTAATTGATGGTTTTTTATTTTTTGGGTGCTTACATTGGCTTTGCTTTTTAGTATCGTAAAATACTTCGGATATTGGAAATTAGACAGTTGTCGGATATTGCTGACACCGTTATTTATATATTCCCAATGTTGTTTTCTACGTATTTCATACTTTATTCCCGGATCAACGAATACATCAAACAGTTATATCGCTATCAAACTAATTTGTCTTCTGTTTTAACCTGCCGATTTGTGACTTTCGTGGCAGCGGGACTCTGGGTCCAACTGCAGTCGAAGGTTGTAGAGGCTCTGGTCTTATTTTAGTTACTCTATTTTAGACGAGCTTTTACAAAACAAGAGAGAAGTTATAATAAGTGGCTTAGGCGCAGTACTCAATGACAGCAGTGTAAAGGTATGTTCTCTAATTATCTGTTGTTTTTGAGATTTGCTAATGCTTTATAGTTGTTTATTGAACTTATTATTTCAACGAACGTTGTAGGACGTGACCTGTTCTAACTTTAATTCAGATTTTTAACCATTCCTAATTCAGATATACGATTCTAGAATATATCACATGTTTATCATTTTTAAAGAATGGCCAGCAAACAGGTAAGCAAAGATCTTGAAAGGGCATCAATGGCATTAGTCGCCTAGTGGGAACCAAGCTTAAAGGGCATCGATGGTTTACACCTTTCTGATTGTTATCGTGGGTTTTCATGTCTACAAATTATTTCAAGGTATTGGAAAGGCCTAGGTTGAAATGAACTATCGGCACAAATACGAAATTATCAAATTATGTAAGAGGCCTTTCCTTCTTTTCCAAAATAGTTCCCTTTTGTTATGCCATTGTAATTTTTAAGCTAGTCTGTCATGCATTTTCTGTTATGAGTTGATCAGTCCATGCGAGCCAAGCATGATTCTTTGTCTATTGAGTGTTGTACCTGAACACCCTTATCAAATATATTACTAGATACGGAAAGCTTTGGCTCAAGTCATAACGGCGATGGCTCATAATGGCTACCTTTCTCTGGAAGGAGGCGATCAGCTTGTAGAGTTCATAGCCCGGCAGTGCTCTTTGGCAGTTTCATCGGTATGTCATTGTGTATGTTTTGTGTTCAATTTTTATTACAATATTTTATTGCGTATCTGCATGCAGGATGTTTCTCAGGATTTTTGTATTTCGAAATGACCCCTTTGTATGATTCAGCAGCTAGAGGCATTTGATATGCATAAGTACAGTGAATCCAAAAATAACTTGTTCAGAGCACGTGCGTTTGAAAAGAATTTGAAACTACTCACGTGAAACCACTGTGCGCTGCTTGCTCTAGGGTTTCGCCGTTTTGCAGAAAGGCGGAAACTGTTCACGTGTTTTTCTCTGTGTGCAATTTGATTGGTCAAGAGCTGGGGGTCAAATGGCTGTAAGCCACTTTTACCTGTGTCAAATGCCTTTAAAGCATATTGAAATTGTACCATTCGATCTAGTCGAATTCTCTTAGAGGAATAGTGATAAATCGTACTATGAAAGACTCATTGCAAACCTGAATTAAACCTCGAAAAGTAAACTATGTCGCAGTTTTTCAAACAGATAGTCTGCTTGCTTTGTATGGTATCTTGTTTTGCAAATCGTGGCAGTCTTTTTACCCAAAGCATTACATTGAGTGTTTAATGCTTTAGGTTTCTGATGCAAAGTCATCCGATTTAAATGGACTGAAGTTGCTTTGCGAGAATATTCTGCATTTGTTGACAACGACTGTGGAAATCATGGAAGAGGTTTTTATATATCTTCTCTTTTTCACAAAACACATTTTGGTATCGATGAATGCTCGATTTGATATTTCATAAGAGTTTTCAAAGTTTTATGCGAGCGAAAGTAACCATGAAGTGCCAGCGCCATAGATATTTCTAAAACTAGTTTCAACTACAAAATTTGATATTAATTATGTAGCTGTATATAAGAATGTTTATATATGAAATGTGCAGTAAGTTTAAGATCTAATTAACTGATTCCGGAAATTTTATCTTTCTTTTGTGTTATATTAAGCTGGAAATTTTTTAAACAACATTTTAAGTTTGAATATTTTCAAGATTTTTAAGCATCATAAACATTCATTCTGTGATACATCCCTGATCAACTACCAACTTTGGTGAGATGACACGTCATCACTTCCTTTTCCTTGTAGGTTTTATGGCCTTACCTCTTACAATTGTTAGTGCCTGTACAGTACACAGAGGCCTCGGCCTGCCTTTGCAAAAGTCTTTCATTCTTAGCCACGAAGAAACGGGAGGAAGAGTCTGCAGATTATCAAATAGATTTCGCTCAGCAAGGTTTGCAGTCTCTTGTGAATTTAGCCGCTATTTCAGTTTCAGAGTAAGAATCACTGTGTGTGCGTCAATTTAGAAGTAATTTGTTCCACCCATATTTCTGTATTCTTTTAAAAGACCATTATTATCTATAGTAACTTAAATCTAGGAGCATAGTGAATTATATGTATATCCAAGACTGTTACTAGAGTTTCACAGTGTTATTTTTAAGTTCCAAATGAAACCATAGGCAAGAAATATTTTGAGATTTTTTAGAGAATTGACAACGCAAGTCTTTCATTTAAAACGATTGACAGCTTTTAAAGAAGACAACGCTAAGATAAATTGACGAATGCTTAAAATTTCATTTTGCAGTTCTATAGAATGTAAAATGTGTGTGCATTTTTAGTTTGCTTTTTCTATAGAAAAGAGCTATTGTGTGTTTAAGAGCACTTGTAACAAATATAAAACCGAGATGGATTGGCAATACAAGTAGCTGTTCTGTTCTGTTTTGCATGCATTCCATGTAGAAATTCATTGTTTTCGAGCTGATGCAGCTGATATGCTTGCTATAATACCTAATTAGCATTCGATTATCCTTTGCAGTCAACATCCCAAGACCGCCTGCCATAATAGCAAGGCTAATAGTAAGTTGGTTTTGCAATATTTTACTTAGACTACATTTTTCAGGTTGACCGTACAGATACATTCATACTACACTTTTTACCTAAAACTGTGTTGTGTGATGCGTTTTCTGCCACCTATGTTTTTATCAATGACAAGCATATCTGTTTTAGGTGCTTGCAGGCTATCCACACAACGGCAATGGTCGCGGAGCGCCCATTCTAAAGTTGCTGCAAGCAATGTCATTAAATCTTCACCCTGCCATTGTTGAAATGTGGGACACTGTGATACCGAAGTTATTTCAATATCTTGAAGGTAACTGCGCTTTCCTTTCAACTGATTTTGGTCATAGCACTGTACGATTTCGCTAGTTACACAGAACTGATCTCCTTACAGTCAGACAGTATTGAAAGCCGTAACTATGTCGCCATAGTAAAAATCATTTTAATTATATTATTGCCTTGGCAAATATCTGTGTTTCGTGTTTTAGAAAATTCCACGGAAATGGATAACTGGAATCAGAAGGCTTGGGAAGATCTCATTTTGAAGGTAGTTACAAATCTTTTGTACTTTTTATTTTGTTATGGCTAATATCTTTGGAGATATCCCTCGACAACGGATAATGAAATTACAAAATAAATCTCATCATGCGGTCTTGCAGATCTTAACAAATTCAAAAAGAGTAGAAAATCTGTCTACCAATCAGCTAAAACTTGATAAGATGAAAGGAAATACCCAAGATTATGTAAGATATGAAATTGAAATACATTGAAAATGTAAAGGACATTAATTAAGAGAATGAAAAGAGTTTTTCAGAGATTCTAGAGATGTTTATTGACCATGCTAATAACCCAGAGATTTCTAAAAATGGAGAACAATTAGGAAAGATAACGAAGAAAGTAAATATTATCATGGAAATGATCCCAGTCAAAACCGTAACAAAAACTAGCAGACCCATAAATGTTGTCTGTATTTCTGTTGCAAAGGACCTAGGACTAATAAAGCAAAGAACTAGCAAGGGAGGCAACCTTAGGGAAAAGAAAGCTTGAAAGGGATATTGAGATGTTAAAAAAGGATGTAAATTTTCTGGAAAGGAATGGAAAAAATCCATTAAAAAAGGAGAAACAATTTTATGGCTGTTTAAAAGGCTGCCCAATCAATGCCGCTTGCTTGTTGTAAATATTACTAATAGTGTCCTTTGTGAAAATGAACTCCTCCAGTCTACACTGTAGTGGCATTTTCATTTTTATGTAGATAGATTCTAAAGCTGCTCGATAGAATGGCGACCGGGCTCTACCAATAATCTCAATCATGCTCCTATGATAATCGTTTACACAACCTGGGTTATCTTGTAAACGCTGTCCGATGACAGAGCCAAATATTTTAGCCTTCTGGATCTGCAAGACCAAGAAGGCTGTTCTCTTAGGGGGAGAATTTTGTTTCCAAGATTGGAGGAGGCATGCTGTTTTTCTATCCCCAGTCTCTGGGTTGTGCGTCCTACGTAGCCAGAATCACACTGGCACGTAATTTCATAAACAACATAACTCTTTTGAAAGAGAAGGAATGCAATCCTTTGAATGGATGGAAAGGCTCTCCTTGTACTGTTAACAGTACGAGGACTTACAGTAGAGAAATATTTTGTAATGGCCTGTTGAATCTGACTTTCAATTCGCAAGGAAATAATGCCGATTCATTGTAGTTGTAGAGAAACTTGGTACTCTTGTGAACTAAATTTTTCTGTGGCTGAAGACTTGCGACTTTCTCCTTAACTCATGTAGCAATACCATCTTCTGGGTATCCGTTTTCCAGAAAGATCCTTTTTAGTTGGTCAAGTTCTGAGTCGAGTTTTGACTTTAGTGTCTACTGAAGCAGAGGTTGATTGCAAAAGCTACAAAAATCAAAAGGTGTGAATAATGGGTAGCACAGTACAGACAGAATGTATCTTTGTTAACAATAATTGAAGGGATTCTATCAGGAACTGTATGGCCTTGAAGATGTCATACCTGATGACCAGAAAAGCCAATCTTTCTGGAAAAAAGGTTTGAATGTATGGAATAAATACAATTAAAGTTCTAAATGGTTAAATAATATCGATGAAGAACAGTAGTTGACTTGGTCGTAACATTTGAAATGAAAGAAGTCCACTGTAGAAAGAAGGCAGCCTGGCAAGTACCAGCTAGGGACGTAGTTCAAGGCTTTTGATTGAAATGATTGAGTGCCGTGCATGGGAACATGAATAAGAAGATCTTGAATGGTGACGAAATGTTTTGAATTTGGCTAGCTTTTTCAAACAAAGGGAATGCAGTGGAAAATTTCTGATCAATTTCATGCCTCCCCTTAATATAGAAGATCATGACAGATGTCATTGCTGTGATCGAGTGTAAATGCAAAGAGGAGAACAATATCTTACCTTAATGGTGTAGATGGGGAGCAAAAGGACTAAGAACCAACTGCTAGTTGAAAATGCGATACTTAAAGATAGCTAAAGGAGACGCACCAAACTCGCCATGGCATGGATTGATTGATGAAGCATATGACAAAGTTAGGGTTAGCTGATTGAAATTGATCAACTGAAGCAGAAGCAATGGAATGTTAGGCTTAATTTGAAAATGGTTTTGAGGCAAAGTTAAATGGAAAAGATAATATCATAGTTATTAATGCATGGGAAGTTGCCGTCTCATGGTACTGCGTTAGGCCCATTGGGTGGGGGATTGACGATTTAAAGACTATTGGAAAGTCTTTCCGTGAAAATTGCACGGAAAAGCGGAAACATGTCATATTAAAGTAGTTTCCGTCCGACACTCCTCAGAGTATATTGTACGTCGGATAATGTTCAACGGTAAACAGAAAATTCATATGGAGATGGGGATCGAAAGTAGCATGAGAGAAAGAAAATCGTTTGATTGGTTCTTTTTTTGCCTTACCACAGCCACTTATATCTCACCTATTTGAAGAGTCTGATTTTCCATGCTATTTCCAAATTTTGTGGTACCAAAGGTTTACAATTGGAAAGACAAAGACTCTTACGAAAGACAGCCCGATCCGGAACAACAAGGATTCTACGAAAAGCATTGAAAAATTGAGAAAAGAGAAAAACCAAATTGGCATTTTGCTATTTGATTTGGCTTGCTTCTCTGTTGTAACGTCGGCATAACATGTGCCTGAGTGCCGTTACTTGCATAATGATGATCTTCCTCCTTTTTTCAAAATCACGATCTTTTTAGTAGGGTTTCATAAAGAGCCTCAACATTTGGTATAAAAACCATTTTTTGCTTTCATGACTACATTAGGTTGACTTTTGCAACGTGATTAGTTTTAGAACTGGCTGCTTCAAAGCAGCGTTGCCTAAAGCTTTTTCTTCAAAACTAGGTTTATTCACTTCGCTTCCAAGTTGCAGCTTTAAAGAGGTAAACAGAAAAAGCTTAAGTCAGTTTTAAATCAAGACTCTGCTTTTTATATTATTATTAAGTCACTTGAAATGGTGCCAAGGCTTTGAAAATTATTTAGGTATAAAACATTGAAAAAATATTAAACGTATTAGAGTTGTTTGTTTTTTTGCAATGGTTTATTGACATCTCTTTGTCTAGTTGATTAAAGTGTTTTCATTTTTTCAAAATGCTGAATCTAGCTTTTGTCGAAGACGTTGAGTGAAATTGAAGCTGAAGACTGGAACCTAAGCTTCGGACGGTTTCTTGGTGAACAGATAGCTCTTTATCAAAATTACCCGGAAGAAAAGGTAAAATCCAAGATGTTATTTTTGTCAAATTGAGCAAATACAATTTTAAATTGGTTTTGGTTTTTGTTTTTGAGAAATTATTATTAAACGACTACTTCAATATTTCAAATAGAATTTTGCATCTTCATGCTGGTGTTTCTCTAGACTGCTTAGAAAGTAATGTGATAAGATGAATGACATTGAAATCTTATTTGAAAGCCCCGAGAATCTTCGGTTTCTGCTTTTGAAAACGAAGTTCGAAAAGCAACAGATGCATTAAAGAAGAACTAAATTGATTGTCTTGCACTGTTTGTCAGTAGATATACGATATTCTAGTCTTATCATTTATCTGATTTGCTTCTTCCCAGGGGTTTCTCTACAAATGCATTGGCGTTGTACTAAGGAAAACAAACACGGCCGATTTTGTTCGCGAACACTTGAATCTCATCTTTGCTACTGTTGATCACTCAAGCCAGATCGAAAGGGAAGGCTGTGCAATGGCACTTGGCTTTTGTGCTGCCTCGCATCTTGATCAGTGCCTCGTAAAGTTGGAAGAAATTACCAAAACTGATATGGTTAGAAAGTCTACTGGTTTTATGGGATTCATGAAGGTATTTCTATTGTTCACATTTTAAATTTGGTATGAAGGCATCTTTGGGTGCTTTAAACGACCTATTAGACGCTGTTAGACAGCTGAAAAGTATAAAGAAAACTTCATAATGTCTGTTTCTGAAGATTTTGTGCGCACCATTTTTTTAGGACAAGACGGAAGCCGACGTGGGGCGCATCAAATGTACGGTTGCTCTTTCCTATGGTTATGTCATATACTATGGACCAACTGGGTGAGTTTTCTCTTTCTGTTTATGACAATACTTTTCAAGCTTTGCTGCTAATATCTTGATTCATTGATGCAAAGAACTTTAAGTAAATATACTACTATTCTCTATCCCTCTTATTATCTCGGTGTTCGCTTTCTCATCTATATTGTTTCCTTTCTTGCCAATACCTTTGATCTCAATTGCCACTAATTTCTCGATTTCAGCCTTATTACATCCCGCCTTGAAACGAGTGTCCTCCGTGTTTTGAGTCCATATTTTACGTCTGCAAAAGATCCCAGAGTCAAGCAAAACTTAGTGAAAGCTGCCTCGCTGTTTGGGAAAGCATTGAGCCCAGACCACTTGAATACGCATTACGTCTTTGCTAAGAGAGATTCGATGATCAAGTTTATACAGGTAGGCCTAGTTGTATTTAGTTTTGTGTTTATCTTGATGTAAAAGAACTGATAAAGACATTTTGCCTTCAAAATTACTCACAAGAACAGAATGAAATTTAAAAGGGCAATGGCCATGGTGTTTGTGAGAGTTACAATCTAAAAGAGCATTATCAGCCGCGTAGTGATTTTGCCAGAGACTTTATCGACTTCGTAATAAGACTGGCGCAGCAAACCTGCCTTTAAACTTTCGGCATGTCTAGGTTTTTTGTTCAATTCCTTTGACTTGATGAGAGAGAAATAAAATATGTTTATGTGAAGCTCGTTTTGATAATAACACACATAGGTGGCAGCTTTGACCATGAATCAACTTTTTTATATAATGATAAATATGAAAATTTGAATCACGAAGTTAACTGTATCCCAAGCAATTTCGGTTACATTCCAAAAATTTTTATTCATTTTAAGACACTTTAATACCAGGAACTATCGAAGTCTTTTTTTAGCCCTATATTACCTTTAATTTGAATTCTGGCTTTCTTCTTTCATGTTTCTATTTTTTTCGTCACTCAATTACATTACCAATTAAGATCTGACTGCAATAAAGTTTTACTGAAATTTTGCCAACTCTTTGTGTCATTGTGAAGGTTTTTTATCTTTCTACGTATACGGTGCTGCAATCTTCTTCATGATTGCTAAAAAATAACATTCCTGTTGCTTGTATCAAGTGTATTTCTTCTATATTTCATATTCAAAAATCTAGCAATGATTCTTGAGATTTTTGGAATATTTCTATCTGCATTTCAAAACGTGGCCTTGTCTTAGCTGGACTTTAAAGTTTAGAAATCATGAAGACAGTGCCTGTTCTCGGATATTTTCTCGAATGCTGTCCCGAGCTTGTATTAGAATAATGACAGATCCTTAAGATTCATCATTTTCAATGTTTTTCACCGAAACTTTCTATTGGAAATGATTTTCTTGTTTTTGTTTGCAGGGATTTTTGTTGGTAGAACCAAGATCTTCGAATTCCGAATTGCGTCCTCTGGCCATCGAAGCCATAACAAATCTAGTGTATCCTTGTCCAATGCTTATTGTTTTTCTAATGTTTGGCGAAAAGACGGGGCTTGAGTTTCCATGAAATCAGACCTTTTTGCATATTTTTTTTCTTTGAACTTCGTAAGGCTGAGTAAAAAAAATTCCAATGGACTGATACGATAAAGAGAAGCAAAGAAGCTTCTTTAGTCAGACAAAAATCTACAAACAGGGTTTAACTGTGACCGAAAATCGGTCAAGACATCAACAAACAGGGTTTTACTGGAACCGAAAATCGGTCAAGACATTCACAAACAGGGTTTCAGTGTAACAGTAAGTCGGACGGGACAGCCACAAACCGGGTTTGACGGTAACCGTAAGTTAGTCAAGACATTCACAAACAGGGATCAACTGTTACTTTTAGTCAGACGAGACACCACAAGCAAAGTTTAACTTTAACCGTAAGTTAAACAAGGCACCCACAAGGAGTCATTTGCGTCAAGTTGCATTAAAATTTCTTAACTTCATTACCAGTATTTTAGATCCGAAGCTACCAGAGCAAGAAGTACAGGAACTGATCAAAATTTGTTCGGACAGTGTGTTCCCGGCACTGGAAAACCTTGATCCTGACGTTGATCTTAGTGTATGTTGCTTTGTAAAAGCAGTACTATTTCTACCATTTCTGTTTTTCTTTCAGGTGAAGACGTATTGCGGTAGAGTTTACATATAAGTATAATTTAGCATATAAGCATAGTAGAGGGCAACTTTTATTGTCGCTTTTTTAACTAATGTCAGCAAAAATCTCAAGCAAAAAATTGTCCTTACTTTTATGTTTAGTGTTGCCAGATTTGCGCAAAATCAAATTAGTGTTTTTCTAAGGAGCGTTTATTTTGTTATATTGCTGCGACGTCTGGTATGAAGGTCTGCAAAAGATTTTATTTTTATATTGCTTCTATTTCATAAGTTTAATTATAAACCTAGTTTTACCTTTAAAACGCCAGGATACCAAGGAATTTCAAAATTTACACAATATTAGTTGTCTTTTATAACTTTTGAAATTGCAAAGCCGTTGTGCTTTGATATTTTCCACTTTTGTCTTTAAAAACCCTTATTAACATTCAATTTACTGAGAATCCTTTGAAAGCATTTGACAGCACCAGTAAGGTTTTTTGTTCAAGGAAACTGTTTATTTTCTTTTTTATTATTTGCTGCTTTTCATATATTTATTTCCATGAAAAAGTAGTTATTTTAGAGAAACAGATGGGGCCTTTTATCTTCAATTTTCGGTTTTGTCTTTACCAGTATAAAAGAGCAGAGGTTATGTATAATGAGATAACTTCTTCGCCAATCATGATTTTTTCAACATTGCCAGTAGCCAATCTTTGATCGAGTTGGCATGTCCCTTTCTTACTAGCCTATGTTGGTTCGCCTGTGGACATACGATATGTAGCCATGGATATTTCGCGTAATATCGTTTACTTTTCAGTGATTTTGACGCTAATGCTTTTAATTATTCACTTTCAACAGTACTCTGAGTATATTCTTGAGTTTGTGGTACCTTAAAGTTTTTAATGTTTTAAAGATTTGGTTATTTAGTTTTTGCATTTTGCAGGAAAAAACGAATAATACCTTTTCTAAATCGCTGGAAAATATAAATGAGCTGATGACACAGATATCTGCTAAAGATGGTACACCTGAAGGACTAAAGTCGCTTGTAAAGGTTTGTCAATAAAGGTTACGTTAAGCATGCCGTAATTAATCAAGTATCATAGCCTAATTTTTCTTTTTTGTATCCAGGAGATGTTCTAATATAATGTGTGATTTGATAAAGCTAGGTTAGCAGCTACCTAACCCCATAACAAAGTTTAAATGCACTTACCAACTACTGTATCCTAAATAACAAATAATTATCGTTCACATCCTGTTCAGGGGTTTTGACGTCAATTTTTCCATTTCAGCATCTCGAGCCGTTTCTTTGCTCATGTCACAACCATGAACGAAAAGGAGCCATTCAAACCGTAAAGGCGATTTTGGATCACTTTATGGAATCCGTAACAGCAACCGTATGTGCTTAGTTCTTTTTTTAACAGGCTTTTAACTTTTTAGTTAGACCATGTAAAGGCTTCGATTGAGGTTGTATCATTGAATTAGACAAGGCTGCGTCACGCACTTACGGAGCATTTATCATAAACACTTGCCTCACATCAGGTGAGATGTTCTGGAAGTTCTTCACTTTTGAAAAGAAAACAACGACAACCACCGTAGCATTTATCAAACAGGACCTAAGAAATCTGCCCTTTATTTACGTATTGTTCTTTTGTGGACCTCCTTGAATTTGAATCTAATTCCTTTCATGTGTACAGGAAGAGGACCAGTTTTCACAGCTTGGCCTGTTGCTGGGCAAAGTCTTACCACGTTGTACAGACCCCTTGGTTTCTGTTAGAAAAGATAGTATTGACTGCATTCACATCCTATTGAACATCAATGATCGTTATCAAGGTATGCCACTTCGTCTTTTTCCGTTATGAACTCTACAAATCGTTTGCCCGATGAACTACAGGTTAATGTGAATACTTACACTCTGTGCAGCTGTCATATTTTACTATAGGGACTGCGAGAAGTATGTCCTCTCTCGATATTATGTCGTCTCCACATATCCGGTTTGAGACAGACAAGACGGTTAATAAAAACATAATATCTAGAACAATAATATAAATATGCATAGTAAAGAGCTGCCTGCAGACCATAATGAGTTATGGTTTCTTAACGAAGTTCATTAGAAACAAATTAAATATTTTTTTCAGTAAAGTTTAGTTTTTTTTAAATCCTAAAATAATTTATGTCTATTTAAATGTTGTCACCACTATATGAACCATGTTACAATAACTAGTTCCTATCAAAGTGAACTGTCTCTGTTAAGCTATGTACATTTGTCGTATGCTGCACATACAATGCCTGCCAAAAGTACTTGGAACACCCAGCAATTTACGCTGTATTTGATATCTTCCATTTCTTTAATGAAAAAATTGCCCCCTTCACCCCCCTAAAACAATGTTGATGATTTAGAGAAATATCATAAAAGAAGCGCAAAAGAAGGTGCTTCCTAAAATCCTAACCCGTTTGATAGTAAACCAACATTGTTCTGTAGGGGAGAGGGGGATGATTGATTTTGACCTTGGACATTGATGTCATTATCCCAAGACTTTTGGCAGGCATTGTACCTCAAACCTTAAATTTTAGGCATACCTGCAGATGTGAGCGACGAAAGATTGAAAAACCTTTCAGCATTGAAGGAAAACGTATCCAGTAGTGAAGCTTCTGACCTTTTCAATGTCGTGAATGAGCTAGCTACGGTACGTTACAATTTGAAGTAGTTACTTTAGTATGCTTATCGAGGCTATTGTTTTACAGTTTACAAGCTGCTCTTAACATTATATCTTCTGATTTAGTTGATATTTTATTTCATTGAACCTACAGCTAGTCGAGCTGTCGTTGCTTTTAATCTGTAACTGGCTAGCTATTTGACAAATTAAAAGTGGTGCAAAATCTTTCTTGTCACTCTAACTGCCATGCCTTACCTTCATTTTCTCTGAGTTCATATCTCTCACTTCTAGGTCTTAAGCAAGAAGACCCCGGATCGCCAGTTAAAACACCTCATATACTCACTACTAGATGGCTTGACTGACAAGCATGCGCAGAGCTCAAATGGTGCATGTGCCATATTGAACTGCATTTTAAAACACAGGGGGGCTGAACTGTATTCTGAAGTAGGTATATTTATTAGCATTGGTCCAATTAGCATCACCAATAGTACTAATATCAGTGTTTTGATTCAACTAGGCTGTATGTGTTTTAAACTCTCCATTGATAGTATTCATGGGAAGTGCTTAATATATCGTATGCAATGTAACAACGATTTTTATACTGCCTTTTTGAAAAGGGAGTTAAGGCTCAAAACTGTTCACGAAACTTGCATACTTTGAGACAAGCCTTATATTAAGGTCAAGAAGACATTTCTGTAGCCCATGATAAAAAAAAGAGACTTTTTAGCTTTGATGTAGGCACCAATGACCTTACGAGATATTCCTTATTTTTCGTTTTATTCTAATAATCCCTTCAATCAACTCAATTTGTCAAATCTGTTGTAATCAATAACCTGCTCTAATCTGTAATTTTGCAAGCTTCCTGTCTAGATTATGTGGGAAAAATCTAGATTATGCGGGACAGTTCTAGATTGTTAGGGACAGGTCTATATTATGCACGACAAGTCTAGATTATGAGGGACAATTCTAGATTATGAAAGAAAAGTCTAGATTACGAGGGACAAGTCTAGATTACGAGGAACTATCATTATTGACTTTTCAGTCTTGAACTTATCAAGGTTTTTGAAAAATTTTGATTCTTTTCATGTGATTTTGATCAATTTTTATTAAATCCTGACAGATTACGAAGCTCATAACAGAAATACACAATAAATTATTATCAGTGTCTTTTCCTGCAACAATAACTGGGACGATTGTAGCAATGCGAACTTTGGCCTCACATCATTTGATTGTTGTTCTAACAGCAATCCTTGGCTTCCCGTTGCCTTTTTCCTCGTAAGTTGCTCCGTACCTTGTTTTTAAAGTCTAAACTTCGTAGTCTAAACTCTTTTTACTAATATTGAATTCTATCTGAAGCCTTGAATTTTTGAATTTGTTGACAGCTTTTGGATAATACAGCTGATGGTTAAAACACCATAGTATCCTATTGATCGCGATGGGTTTCGTTTCTAATTCATTCAATCTAGTGTTTCTAAAAGTAACTCTCTTTGATTTTAGAAATGCTATAAACTTTTAAAGCCAGCAAATCGTTTCTATCAATTGAGGATGTCGAAAGTTATTAATTTATTTAAAAATAGATCACAAACAAGATCAGAATTCCTGCCAGAGTTCCACTTGCAAATCCACTTGTTTTCTGAACCTGATCTAACAAGCCAACCATTAACTCATAATTCTCCTCTACATTCGTTTATCTTTCTATTTCAGGAAATTTTGTGTTTTTTTGCTAAAAATTCTTTTTCTAAATTTCTTTTGTACGGCGATAAAGAGATATATTCCATAGAATACTTTTTCATAGCTTGCAGGACTTTGAGTAAAGAAGCTTGGAAACTTTAACATTGTAGACATAAATATGCACAATCTTTTGTAACATAGTTTTAAACAATAGCATAAAAGATGGCATACTTGTGTCATTCATTTCAGGATAACTAAAGAGTTTTGGCAGACATTAGCAAAGGACAAGGACTTAACTCAAGACACTTTTGACCATCTTTTGGACATTTTGAGTCGATCACCTCCGTTCACGGAAAAGGAAGATGCCAGAGATAAGAAGAGCTCGATCAGGACTGCAACAGTGCTACCCATAGCGGTGAGAAGAGTCAATTCTCTTTAAAGAAGGCAAATCTCTGTATTTGAATACAGATATTAATACTCTATATCAATTAATTTCTCTACTTATAATCAAATACTTATTCTTTCAACACAAGTTTTTGTCATACTAAACGCTTTCTATTGTTCATTTTTTAATGGTTATCATACGTGTTAATTGATGTAGATGATACCTGGAAATCTACTTAAATTCTTTTCTACTTTAATAGAAATCTAGTATTTCTACTGCTATGTTTTTCGCAAGAACGTAAGTTTATTTCAATATCAGCCGAGCAAATATGGTTTCCGATTTCAATCTACGCAACTACGGGATGGAAAAGAAAGAAAGTAATATTTTTGCAATTAGTGACTGGTAGATTAAAGGATTCAAAGAAGGTTAATCACGAAGAGGTTTTTATCTATGCCTGATTGTTTTCATAGGTAACTTGCGCTCTTACTGAGATCTTTCGCGTTCCGGAGACTGAAGATTTGGTCGCCACGCTGTTCCCGAAGCTATTTTCTGCAATTTTGCTCCGAATGGGTTCATGTCTCAACGTTAAACCTCCATTGCCAGATCAGAAGAAGTCACAAAAGCAGGTTCAACTGCAACCATTGAGGTGTGCCCTAGTTATGTTATTTGTTCATTTTGTTTCCAATTCCGTTTAGTTGAGAAATTCGTTAGTATCTTTAAAATTCAATTGGTCTTATTTTTAACAGAATTGCGCGTACCAACATGTGTAGAAGTTTATGTCAACAAAGCATCTGTTTTCGTCACAAGCATTCAACTTACAGACTTTTTTTGAAAATTTCAAATTCCTATGTACGAAATTTTTTATTCAGATTCAGATTGAGAGCAAGTATTTTAGTCTAATCGGAAGTTTTCATTATTTTATTGCTCACGATATCGATTTTATGACGACAAAAGGATTTGCCTGTGATTGGGTACCGTGAAGCGGTTTGACCGTGAAGGAGGTGAAGTTTCACCGGAACGATTTTTGCGGTCAAATCCTTAACAACTTCCTTTCTCTGTAAAATCTAAAATAATTGTATCCAGCCCGAAATTATGGTGATAAAACCAAATCCGAGCTTGAAAAAGTCGTGTAATGGAGTTTAGAGAAAAATTCCAAAACGAGGCCGCTAGAAACGCTAGTCGAATTGTTCATGAATTGATGTATGAGCAAGCAATTGGAGAGAAAAAGCTGCAACCAGTATGCAGCTACACGACATCCAACTTTTGCTCACTACAGTGTAGAATTGTGCAAACGAAGTTTCCAATCTCATGTGAATGTAACAAAGTTATCAAGCATGCAATGATATTCTACATAAGACCAATGATGGAAAAATGATGGAATAAAGTCGGTCTCAGACAATATCATCTTTGCAAGTCTCGCATTCTTAGAAATTGTCATATCTCCCATTACATTGTTTGATAATGCCGGTATCTCTTTCAATGCTTTTGTGGAGCATAAAACCAAGGTATGGAAGCACCTTTAATGCACTTGCTGATATAATACCTACTGCAGAAAGTCAAGAGTAGATTTTGTATTGAAACTCGTTTAAGGAAAGGTTTTCCCTAAGAAAATCAACATTTAATCACGTGTTAATGGTTCTTTTTTATTCAATGTTGATAGTTTAGCCACAGAATGTTGCAAGGAATTTCTCGCACGGAGTGAGTTCGAGAAACTGCTTTCACATATTGAAGAAATGAATGGCTGGAAAATGTTAGAAGAAGAAAAGACCTTCGCTACTGGCCTGGAGATTGTTGTCAGGTAGAGCATGACGTATAATCGCACAATAGGGGTCATAATTAGTTTTTTTCTGTTTGTAATATCATTAAGGCTATTGCCTAATAGTATGGAAAGATAGTATGGGAATAAGACTAGAGAAATGTTTAATAACTAGTGCTTCTAAATGTTGCTTTTGTCGGAAAGCTAGCACTGCAGCACCAGTCAAAAACTGTCTTCTTTTCGCCTTATTGTGCTATTCAGTCTCTGTAACAACCTCCAGCAACAATCTGTAATAATCATTTATAAAGCATGATCATCAGGCTTTTTTAGAATAATCTAGCAAATGCTCCAATTTGCCCTGACTTTCATAGTTGTACAAACGGAAGTGGGCTAGGGGCTAAATTCATGCCATGTGAGTGATGGTTTCTCTTTGTGATCACCTGCTCGCTTCCATAGGGGTTTGTGCGACGTTGCTTCAAAGCACATCAGTGATATTGTCACATGCCTGTTGCAAGCACTTCAAAGCACATACGACACTCAACGAGTTGTGGCTGCTGGCTTATTTGCAGAGGTCAGTTTTGTTTTGATCTGCCTTCTTTGTTCTATGCTAATTTATTCCATGCTTAAAGAATGCCTGATGGGAATCACTTTTATCCTTGAAAGACACCTGTGAGAGACAAACGAGTTAAATGTTTTTCGGCAACTCTGTGCTATTTTGCATTTAATTGTGATTTGTCCGTGAATTTTCGGCATTGTTTAGAGTTTAAACACTGTACCCTTTAGTACGGAAAGTTCTTCTAGACCTAACGATAGATGATCAAAATGAAGAAGCAAAACAATTTATTAGGTAATCAGTGCTTATCGCTGTAAATCATGAAAAGAAATCAAAGTTAGACATCGGAAAGCTTTCAGCCTTACTTTTATAATGCTTCATTCTTTATGTTTTAAAATGCTACCATTTGACCTTATGACATCTTGACAATTTGCTATTACCTCACAGCTAATCAATCAACGATGTCGCGGTGATCTGCAGCTGGTAGAACTCTTAATCAATAGTATGTTATCGAAGCTTGTCGATCCTTGCCATCTGGTGAGAAAGCTTTGCATTAAAGGACTGGGCAATGTATCTAGTGTTGGTGGTCAAAAAGTAAGTCTCAAACACTGCATGTAAGCCCCTCCTTTCTAGATTCTTTGGTAGATAATTATAAGTGTTACCATTGATATTAAAGAAAGCGTTTTCTGTAAATAAATTTTCTGCCTAATGCCTGACAGCTTTAAACGTTGTTCTTATCCATTGCCAAGCTGCTCTGAAAGTTTATGTCTACTGCTAGGAAGCTGTGAATTGTCTTCTTATAAAATACCAAACATCTTTAACCTTATCCTTGTCTCTAATTCCTTTGTTTATCTTTCTGTTTCTGTGCCAGAAGTCAGTGTTATGACGGAGTTTACACATGCTGCTTAGATTGTAAAATTTATCTCTGTTATTCTCAGTTCTGTCATCCTTAACTAAGCTCTAGTATCGTTGACCATTTAATTGCAGACTTTGAAGACTAACAGCTATGTGCTCTTTTTTTTATCAGTTGCAGACTTACTCAACAACCATCCTGTCCGCGATGATGGCTGGCATGGATGACAAAGAAGATCCTGAAAATACCATAACCTTAGAAGCAATGTCTGGCTTATCGCGGATTTTGGCGCAACTCGATGAAACTAGTGTCCGGCAAATTCTTATCAATATTTGCTTGAGAATTAGACCTTGCTTTGAAAAGGTACACACACCTGTTGCATATTGAAGTTTTTCTGTTGTTTCAAATCATTCCTTTTGGCTTGTACAACAATTCTTTGCGTGCAATTTTATATGTTTGGTTGCTTTGCGATATCGTTTTTGTCTGTTTGCTTACAAACATCTCTCGAAGTCTTCTGCTCTGCCAAGCAATCAGTTTATTTGTTTAGATAATGATAGACGTCATATATCTTTCCTTTTTTGATAACATTATGAGACTTAATTGTTGACACGCTGAAGGACAGTGCTTAACGGAATGACATGTGACTTTTTTCATATAAGGGGATTCAAGTTTTTAGATAAATTGAAGTCGACATAAACCAATGGTCAGGTGGGTGAAAAATGTTGGATTCCCGGATGGTCGTGATGATAATGTGATCAATCACACATTTGGGAACGCGTGCTTCCCTCTAATTTCAGATAATGAAAGCAGTCTGTAAGATCAACTATTTAGTAAACAGGGATTTCCATATACTTTGAAAATATAACGTTTTTTTTAAATTCAGGAGAGCAAAGAGGTGCGTGCAGCATCCATATCATTGTTTGGAGATCTTTCCCGCTTCGGCACTGGTGCATCAGAAATGCCCTTTTTGGAGCAAATACATACGAATTTCATTAGCATTCTCCTCCATCTTGATGAAGAGCCAGAGGTTTCAAAGGTAGACAATCTTTTCACATTTAATCACCGGTGAATAGACTGTTGATACCATTTTTCGAATTCCAACATTTCCCAAGTTGTGATATTTGTTCAGTTCTCATCATGTTTGGAAGGGTGAAGAGGCGATTTTTGTCGGGAAAAGGGCGTATCACACTCTTTAAGGGTTTGGTCGAAAGATAAATACTACTTTTATGTGCTACTTTTATGCGTTTCTGTTTCAAAGTTTATACTCTAGTGCCATAATTTGAAATTTCAGCTTCACAGATATGTTAATATGTTAGAATTGTTGCAAAAAGGTTACAGAGTGAGTAAAAAAATTCCATCTTTTGCCAACAAAAATCCTTAATGTGCCGACAAACAAAATTTTGGGGGTACCGCACCCCTCCCCCCCGTGCCGCCTCCCTTTGGCGATGCCCCTGTAAGAAATTCTTCCCAAAGGTTGCTCTACACATCGTTGCGGATGTTACTTCGTCTTCTGATTTCCTTATTTCTTTCTTCTGTAGGCCTGCAAAGAAACACTTCGCAAAATTGGTCCCCGACTCGGCTCCGCTTCAATTAACGAATCTTTTCAGAAGCATTTAATCGAGGGAGGAATGCTTCACTATGGAGAATTTACAAATAATTTATCAAGGTTGATGGTAGGTTCCAAAAATTTGCAACAATAAAAAACAGTAATTCCTTTGTTTCCTGTTTTGCCTCTGTATAATTTTTGACTATCCTATTTTCAAAGGTTTAGTCTTTTTTGTCAGTACTTTTCTGTCATGCAACATGTCTTTTTCTACAAAATATGTTTTACATTCGACTAGATTTTCCTGTTGACAGTGAATAAAGCAAACATCGAAAATTTTGAATTTTATTTTGATACTTCTGCTAATTTGCTAATTTTGCAATTTATGTTGTTAATTCATTTTGCTCCTAAATATATTGCTGATTGATAATGTTTAATTTTTGTCGTTTATCACTACTTTTTTTCCAAGATTGCCGATTTTCAAGAAAAAGTTAATTTCTATGTTATGGGCTGCGTTGGTTTCTTCAAGAGCTCTTATGAAGACATAAGGTCAAACGCAGCGACCCTTACTGGCTTTTTGCTGGGCAATTTGCCAACCGCTAAAAGGGATGGCATTTCTGATGAACATGTTTGCAGTGGTATGAGTTAGACTTTTTCAGTTGAACACTTATTAAAAGTTGCTTTATTTTACCTAGGAACACATTCTGTTGTGTATATCAAGATGGCTGCGTATAAACAAATGTAAATGAATTATATAATTATCTTCTCTATTGATAATATCTTTTTTATTATTCTTTATAGCAATTTATATGCTCTGCTATTACGAGTACTTTTTCCTTTCAAGCATTGCAAGAACAGCAGCTCCACTGACAGAAGAGTTACATATGAATGTCGTTTTTTTGGGAACTGCTTTAGCCCTCATTGTTTCTGCTTTTTTATCCCATTTTATTTCCTGCCTAACAATGATTATGTGCATTAATTTCAGCTTTAATAATGCTGTTGAAAGATTCTTCTCCGAAAGTACGGTCAAGAACTGCTGAAGCGATGGGCCTTCTCTATGACTACTAGCTTCAGCTGATCCGCTGGGGGATCAGATGATTGCGGTCGCCTTCGCTCCTTTCAAATAGATCTGATTCCTGCCTAGTCTTACATTGAAGTAACATATTTCTGTTCAGTGCAGTGCCTTGAAATACCCCTTCTTGTCATATATGCTGTCAAGCTCGTTAGCATTATTAATTTTTTCGATTACATTTTTTATCATCATCCGTCTTGCTTGTGCAAATTTGAATACATTCCATTGTTGCTTTTGCCAAACTTTGACAATCATATGATAGGAAATAAATTTTAATATCTAGCCAAGGTCAGATTGTGAGAAACCAGTTGATTAACTCTCATTCTCATATGTAGGTTGCATATGCTTTTGTCGTGTTGATCGTTATCACCCACTGGGTAGAAGATATGGACGAGTTATGACGTAATTCCACTCATATGTGAAACCCTGCTGTTGAGTTATGTTCTTCATTGTATTTTGATGCAATCTAGCTAGTAAAAAAATGTTCAAAATTCACTGAAGTTTTTTGGCTCGTTTTATAAATAATGCACGTTGGTAGTTCTTGAATTTAGCAAAAGGGCAAGGCTACAAATGTTCTTGAAGATCAATGAATATAACAGATGAGCATCAGATATCAACTATTATTTGATGATATGATAAAATAATTAAATTGGCTTTTTGAAGGGGGCTTTACCGAGGCATTTAATTGAATATAAGAATTTGCTAGAATGATATTGATTTTTACTTAACCTTTCTTACTTGATTTGCATATGCATTCGTAGTTATTGTAATATTACACGAATAAACTAACTTGTAGTTTATTTAAGAGTGATCTCTGGCCTACGTTGCTGGTGACAGCAATAAAGCTCACTGGTTTTACCTGGCCTTGATTGCCTTCAAATGGTGGCCAATTTCTGTATTTCCAATAATGGTGGTTGAGTGTTCTGCCAAGCACACCCGCAGCATTTCTATGGGAAAGGCTGACAATTGGGTTCGGGGAAGTTTCTGTAGGCAAGGGACATTTACTTAGTTACGGCAACCTTTTTGCCGTGCCCTCGCGAACTTCTATTCTATGGTATAATTTTTTGTTGTAATTGAGTTACTGACATTTCTCTAGCAACCAGTTACCTTGCAAATACTCGCTTCAGATATCATCGAGTTGATGTTTCCGCATTGCATATACCTTTATTCAATTCATTCCAGTCATTTTTCTTATCAAAACTAAACTCAATAGAATATCTCAGTAACAAAGTAGTAATATTTTATGGCTATTTATAATTGAATAATGTACTCAAACGATGTTTCTTTTGATAATTTCATGTATTAGCTGTCATCCTTTTCAGACCTTAGACTTCTCAGTGCGTTAATTGGCAGGAGATGCAACATTTACAAATGCGTAATGCACTTTTGTAGAAAAGCTACTTGTAAAAGATTCTAGAAATCTCCACTTCTTCAATATTCGATTCAATGTTCTAATATTTGTTAGCATATAATTCCCGAAATTGATCATGCCAAATTGATAACAAACTGAGCAAGAGACTTCAGTACAATAGTGATGCCAAAATTCAAGAAATTTGTACGGGAAATGATTTCCAGCAACCATTCAGCGGTATTGCTCTGATTTTTCTAGGAATTACGATCCAAGAACCACTACTGACAAATGACATTACGGTTCGGTGTTTTGCTCACCGAGGCTCTACTTGCTATGTACCTAAACAGCTTGAAAATCCCGCGTTTCTTGAAATATAAGCTGGGTTCACCTGTGGCTGTATCGACCCGGACGCGCTCACCATCACGGCATCGACAGGTGGCCTTGGTGACCTGTTACAATGAATTACATAAGTGGTGTCAACTAATGTCATTTTTCTCAAGTAGATAGGTATAGCCTTTACTTTGCAAAGAAAATTTCAACACCATCGTTTAACCGACGAAAACAAAATGGTATAAAGATTTCTGCCTTTGTGCCCATTCATTCAGTGGGTCAGTCTGTCTGCCAATCTGCAATCAGTATACAAGGCTATCAGAAAGTCAGAAAATTTTCTCAGATAATGAAATATCCAAGTATAACAAATCCTACTGAGAATGCTCCAAAGAGTCCAAAGTTTGGAATTTTCTTCTAAAGCAGTAAATAAAATCAAGCATTTTAAAGTTAGTACTCGCGAATATAAATGCATGTTGGGACACAAAACTGTCTCAGTCTCACTGACTTGGCGTTCCACTACAACGCTCAGAGATAAACGCATTTGTGCACACTTAGTCATCTGCTAGGGAACCAAGGTTTACAGATCATAAGAAGATGGCGATTCAAAAAAACAGCTTTTCTTGGCTGCAATAACATATATCCTATTTTACTAAATTTCCACTACGTTTCACCTCAAAGAAAACGTAGAAAATTTAATTTAATGAAGCATAGAACAGCAAAATGAATACCATAGGACACATTTGTTTTCGGCGTCAGCTCAAAGGAATCTTGTGCAGAAATTCACCCAGTGATAATAACAGCTAAATTATTTTTATCGTTAAGAACGTTCTGATAGAAAATACACTTCATTCGGCAAATTGCAATTCCACTTACATCGTCATACACCACTCATACTGTTAGAACACAGGGTTCCCATTCATTGCAGGACATCACATGACAATTGCATCATTGCCCTGCAATTGCATCAGCTTCTGTAAATTGTATTATTCTTAGGGTATATAAGGGGTGGCTTTATAGTTAGGTTCAGTCTTGCCGTAAGCTTTGTCGAACTCAGTGTACCTTGTCGCTAGCTTGCAGAATTGTGTTTGCCGTTACATTGTCGCCGTAGCAATTTAAGATATTTTTAGTCGTTTGCCGTGAACTGATGAATTAGAAGAAGTGTATAGAGAATTGCATAACAGTTTTGCCGTATTTATCGTGTACGTTTCTGCGAACGACCTACGAACTCACGTTTGCAAAACCCCCTTTTTAAGTGGTTTTACAATACACCAGTGTAGGTTAGCGTGTTTTTTCAATTTTTCTTTTAAATCTGCAAACAACAGCTATCTTTTTGAGGAGATCTTTGACGTTAGTTTCTGGAATTTCGAAAACTAAATTGCGTCCAAAAATATTTTGGTGGATCTTGGCGCTTGAAGTGCATGACTGCTACTAAGAGATTCTTTCTGAAAAATTTATCTTCGTGCAAATCCTGTAGTGTTGTTTGTCCTTCTTTTGCTTTATGTAGTTTTTCTTATTTCAAATTAATATATTGTTTCTATACATTTTATATATATATTAATTGTTTTATATCATAGTTTTTGCATGTATTTGAAAAATCAAATTTAACTGTACTGCCTCGTTCTGGTATTATATCCTCGAGAAACGTAACACGTAACAGTTCTTCATAAGAATCTTGCGAGAAAAGAGGATCGATTTATGTTCCCTAATAAACAAATATCCAAAGCAAAAACTCTATGCAGCTGAATGCAATTCGTACTCTGTATGAGCAGTAAAAGAAATGTCACTGTTTAACATTGAAGAGGTAAAGAGACACAACACAGAAGAAGATGTGTGGATTGTAGTGAATGGTATTGTTTACGATGTTACACAATTCGCCGCAATTCATCCTGGCGGCAAAGAAATTCTTTTACAAAATGCTGGAGAGATTGTCACTGGTTTAATGAAACAAGAAGATATCCACGTTCATTCTGAAGCTGCATACTCGCTGCTAGAAACCTACAGGATTGGAAAATTAGCGGTATTTTTTAGGTTTTTATTAATAGCTAGATCGCCTTCGACACCTAAATTGAAACTTTGTACTACCAAAATATGTGCAGGCTCACTATTTTTAGCGCACCAGAGTTGTTTATTTTTTTACCTCACTTTCGGAAAATTGGCCCCTCTCTTTAATTATGTGAAAACTCAGCTTTTTTGCTGAAAATCATCCTTGTTAAAAACTTTATGTACAGTACTGACACCTCGAGGTGAATTGATTGTTCGTGAATTCAACATCTAATCCTGCCATGTTCATGTGAATACGCCCATTTTCAGGTCTTAATCAACACGTGGTCACACCAGTCTTTGTATTTAACTATTGGAGCCAGAGTTGTGTTTTCGTTTATTTTTTGTCACTTATCCTACAGCTTAGGTCGTGAAAGGAGTCCATGGCAGTTTTTCACACTTGCTTCCAAATCACTGCACGCGTGAATCCAGAGTCCAACTTTTGTACAATCTGACATCTTAATTGTTTGTCAGGGGAACTTTGTACTGAAGCAGTGAAGCGGAATTTAATGTCTTGCATCACTTATCGTCGGTGAAAGATTCTGCCTTAACTTTTGAACTGGAAAACCTATTCCAGTTATTTTGCTGGCGCTATTTTAAATGAATTATTGAACCAGAAGCGTTTTTGTGACAAAGCGAAAAACTTTGCAGACTAGCAAGTCATGGTCAGATTTTGCCTAGAATAAATATCATTGTTTTGCATATTTTATTCTTGAATTTGAAGTTATATTGATAATATCAGAAAGTATTTATTTAGAGCATCAACAGAGAAAATACTACACATTTGCAGAAAATTAAAAAATCAGCTGTACATGCTTTTTTCACAAAGAACCACTTTAAAAGGAACCTACAGGTAGAAGGCCGAAATTTTCACCATACATAGCCTTCTTTGTGTTTTTGCTCCTGAGTTCTAGCCAAATGTAAAGGCAAAATTCAAAATTTTTATGTTATTCCTGTTTCTGTACAATTTTTTTACGGCACTTGTGTGCAGCAAAAATTAAGGAACTATTAAGGAACTTTTGGTGCTACAATTTGATGATTTGAGGTCAAAGAATAAGGAACTTTTGGAACTATGTCTTGAGGTAAGTTCTTTATAAAAAAGCGAGTAGTAAGATGCATTTCAGGCTCACTTTATACACTAATAAAGTTACAATAAGCAACCAATCTTGGTACAAGGATTCTATGGCTAAAGATTCTCCAAATGTATGCCAGCACTTATCTTGTGAGATACGTCGGCATGAGCCTTTACTTTCTAACATGTCTCTCCATGGAGCCTCTGCATGGATGCAAGCTAGCACAACCAAATATTCTCCTGAAACTAGTAAGGGATTCAAACTAACATTGTAAAATTAACAGCCTAGGTATTCAAGGCAACATACAACAATAACCATTGCATTGGTCTTCAAATCTTTATTTTGTTGTTGGAATGGACTGAAAGAGGTTTTTCCATATGATCTTTGAGTCTGCCAGTTTTGTTTGTATGTGGCATTCACAAGATTAAGACCCTTTTAAGTCTAAGTACTTCTCTGATGAGCTTCACCTTGCACAACTAGAACAAAATACCCTTATTATCATTCTGCATTTGATCCTTTGGATATTTTCATAATATGATTGTACTTTTGATATTTGCAAGTAACCAGCATCTTCTTTTGTATTATATACTGTTTAAACCAAGAGTACATTAAATATCAATGTTATATTTTAGAATAATATTGATGATCATGATGTTGAAGAATCTGAAATGAAAGGATGGAAAGAGGTAAGATTGCATTGTTTTGTTTAACTTCAATTAAAAGTAAAAGGGAGAGTGAATAGAGTTTGATAAGGGCCAAACCAAACATGAATACAAATTTATTTTATTAGGGGTGAAACTTCTTCAGAATTCAGGTTTCGGATGCATCTTTCAAACATATTCTTGCTCTTCTTAATCGAAGCTCTACAATCTAACCAGCAAGTATCCAACAGGGGATCAAATTACCAAATCAAAACTAATGTTTTTTACATGGTCTCATTTGACACCAATGTTATCCTTACCTCTAGTTTCTGTTTTACAATTCCCATTCTGTAAATGAAGGAAAGCTCTGTATTTATTGTGTTTTTTTTAAAAAGAGAAAGTGGGGTGAATATCATAAAAGTTGTTTAACTGGGATTTTATGTAGATTGTTGGAGCAAATAAGACTCTCTGACTTCGAATAAGATGTCACAAAACTCTTTGATATGTTATCAGATAAAGCAAGCAAGATGACTATCTTCTAATCAGGCCTCTCCGGGAAAAAATACAGCGTGGGCTGTCAAACACCCTTGCCAGTTTGGCTGCATGGGCTATTTAGCCCTTGCTGAAATGTTGTTTATTTTTTAATTTTTAGTATTTAAGAGGCACCAACGCAAAATTTTGATCCCCAAAAATTGCAAAAAGATTTTGGTCATATGAAGTGGGGACAAAAGTTCTACCAAAAAATGGTTTTACACGCTTTGTATCACATACATGTTGCGAGAAACAAGTGAGAGAAACCAGTATGACTGAAGCTTTGGTAACCTAGTAATTTTACGGTCTGGTGGTCATCAACAAATAATCGATTGATAATGTGAAATCCGAAAATAATTGTGAAAGCTCTCGGTTGATTGGGTATTTATCGGCACAAAGCAAGCTTCTGCCTAGCGGTAAGGGCTGCTCACTTCGATGAAATTAAAAAGGCTGATATAACCAAGAAAGAATTAAATCAGTCAAAAATAAAGTTTCGAGCCGCTCACAACCGACCTCTTATTGGCCTAATAGGTATTAGATGCTAAACTTTCCCATTATAAAATGAATAAAATGGTATTTAAACCTAGTGTAATGATAGAATTATACTACTTGCTAACCCTCACTGGTGAGAGCTTGTCCAGAATAGAAAATGTTTTTCCTCTTTCATCCTTTCTGCGCCATGTTCATTCAAAATTGGTTTGTTTTCAATTTTCACCGATTATGATGACAGTCACGCACTTGTTCAAATCTTCTGATATTGGCCGCGCCCGCAGGCACTCTTACCCTTGCTCACTTTAACTTTCTTCCCTAAATTAGACCCCCTTTCTGTATTGAAAGAAATGCGCGGGCAGAAGAAAGCTTGCACAAATTTATTCTGCATGGGGTTTGTGCGTACGCTGGCTATATCCCTCGTCTCTGGGAAAGGCCTTTTCTAATTTTCTGCTTACCAGATTCCTTCATTGAAAAGTGATGAAAGCCAGATGTGTGTAGTGGATCACAATAGTAGTTTGTTGTCATAATTTTACCTTTAACTATCCCTAGAAATCTAAAACCAAGGGTCTACATAGTAACAGTCGGCTCTAATTTTGCTAAGATTGGTTGCAGATTAATTGAAGAAAGAATCGTAGTTGAAGAAAAAGAGGCACTTTATGACTACAACTCTGCAATAATTTGGTGTGATCTTTTTAGTGCTAGAACTTCTTGTTTAGCTCAATGTAGGTTCTTTGAAAAGTTTTTCTCTGGTTTCACATCCCGCATATATCACAAATGTTCTTCCCCATTTGCATTGGTTTCTGAGAGCAAAAGCCCAATCATGTTGCCAGAATTAAACTGAGAAGTGTTTTTCTTTTTTTTCAGGAAAAAATAGATTGGAATCAAGGCTTAGTTTTGCAAGTCCACAGATATGGGTTTGAGTACTTGAAATGGGTCCATTCACCTGTCAACAAACCATTAAAATTGTTTACTTCGAGGTTTCTGGAATTCTTTTCAAAGACACCATGGTTTCTTGTCCCTATGGTTTGGCTTCCAGTCATTTTAATCATGACATACATGTCCTTTGTCAACATTGGTCATCTTGAATATCTAAGGAGCACCTCAAATCTTGCAAAATTAATTTTTGTTTCTGTGCTATTTATTATTGGAGTCTGTACTTGGACATTTGTGGAATACATTTTGCACCGCTTCTTGTTCCATTTGAACCCACCTGGAGATTCAAAGTTCTGGATTACATTGCACTTTTTCCTGCATGGTCAACACCATAAGGTTTGTTTACATCTAGTTCATCTAACTCACTTTATTCAAATCACAGCTTGTGTTTAGATACCTTTTGAAGAACATAATTGCTACACATTTTTATGGCAAAGAGCTGCTTCCTTGCTCTTAATTCAGTTTCATACTATAATCAGACATTGGGAACTCAGAGCGGTCACAAGCAAAACAAGCAAAAGTGTTTTAGATATTTTCCCAAATGATCAAATGACCTTGCGTAAGCCTGTGCCAAAGCTCACAATCACTCACCTCAAATTATCTAGAATCAGGTTTTCGCTAGAATAACTCCTCTTCTCACATTCAAGTACTTTGTTTCTTCACAGGGGGCGGACACTTGGTCAAATATTTGGTGGGGGCAAGCCTATTGTTTTAATAAGATGATGTCACATTGTCCAGTGTTTCAGAACAAAAGACCATTGACCTCCAAAGTATTAATGGCCACTGTCCCCTTATCATCCTCCCCCCCCCCCCAGTTTTCCGCCACTGTTTCTTCTTCCACTTAGCAATTATCATTTCAAGAAAAATACATGCAGCCTGCTATTTTGTCATTTGTCCTAATTGTTCAAACACTTTAGTGCTCATTTTCTTACCGGTTTTTTTCTTTCCGATGAAGGTTCCATTTGATCCTGGTCGACTTGTGTTTCCACCTGTGGCAGCACTAGCCTTTGCTGTGCCATTTTACTTGCTATTTGTCAACATTCTACCATCTGCAATTGGCCAAGGAATCTTTGCTGGTGGATTGCTTGGATATGTTGTCTATGACATGACTCACTATTATATTCACCATGGACAGCCTACTCCTGGAAGTTACCTTCATAGATTAAAGCAGTATCATCTGAAGCATCATTTTGAAAATCAAAATTTGGGTAAGTTCAATTCCTCATTATCTTAATCATAAGAATTCTCACTATCCCATCATGAATGAGAATCTAGTTTTAATAACAGCAGTATGGAGTTGTTCTCCCCTTTTAGAAAATTTACTATTCTGTTGAGTTCAAGCATTTGTTGTGAACAAGTGATTCTTAAAATTCCTTGCACTGAGACCTTAACAATCTGTTTAGATGAGAACATTGGCGGACACTTGGGGTGAGGGGGGTGAGGGGGGTGAGGGGGTTGACTGCCCCCCAATACTTTAGAGGACAATAGTCTTTTGTTCTAAAACAATAGGAAATGTGACGTTGTCTTATTAAAACGATAGGCTTGCTGCCTCCCCCCCACAATATTTGACCAAGTGTCCACCCCTGGATGAGAATTCTGAAACCAACTCATGAAAGCATTGCAAAGCCAAAGCTGATATGGTTCAATGAGCTCAAGGATCAATGACAGACAAAAACTTTAATTTTGGATGGTTTTGCTTAAGGTTGTAAGGCGTGTCTTTGTAGAAACTTAACAATTAGTGATAGAGATAGTGATGGGAAAATGCTATTTCAAAAAAAAATTTGGTCGGGATAAAGTTTTAGGACAATCCAATTTCTGAAGTGTTAGAGTGTACTGTTGAACTAAGATTGAAAAAGCTATTGAAAAAGGTATTTAATTTGTTGTATTGTTGAATCCAGAAGATATGGAGAAAGATGAAACTGTCCCATTCATGAAGCACAAATGAACACCCAATCAAAATCAAAATGCAAAGGGCACTATAAATACTATCAAACATTAAAGTCAATCTGCCTTGTAGTGGGACCGATATTAGATTGGACACTTCCAATCTTGAATATCCTGTTCCTTTTTTTAATCTTTAACTGGTTGCCAGGTTGTCTTATTTATACTTTTAAATATTTTATGATAGATAAATTTCATAAAGTGCTGCTTTCGATGTCCTGATTTGTAATTTATATTGCAGGATTCGGCATTTCTTCAACCTTTTGGGATGGACCTTTTGGAACAACCCCTTCCAAAAGAAAATGAATGGTAAATTTTTCTTTGTCCCTTCCTTGTGACTTGTATTCCTAGTCATTTTTAGTGGATCCCTTTTTGTAATGGTTTATCAACAAGAGCTTTATAAGTTAGATGATCCAACCAGTTCTCTTCTGTTCTCTGTATTTTTCTCCTGGTGTTTTTTTCTGGAATGGATTTTCTCGATCAACTGAGCTTAAACCAGAAGTATATGGATGATGAGATGCTGGTGCATGAAACTTGGCGAATTACTGTTTTCCAGGCTTGCCGGATATATCCAGCTTATGAAATAATGCTCGGACAGACTATGTGAGGTATTGCATCACCGTATTTCAATTTCATGCAATGAATCATATGGACATTTTAATTTTTCCATCGATTATATATTTATAATGAAAGACACGCACTTTATTGCATTAAGCGTAATGTTTTAGTTAGGTACTTAGGTTAACTTGTTGCAAGAATACCGTGCAGTGTTGAATACTGCAGTGTATTACTTAATACCACCCAAAGGTAGCGTAAATTGTTGGCACAAGGTCACAAATCTGCGAGGATCCCCTGAATGTTTGAATTTTCGCTTTGACTTTCATTTGTTATAGAGGGAATATGGGTACAGAATATGGGTACCTTGCATTAATTAAATAAGTACAGTTTTAAGCTCAAAGGAATTGATCGCATATTTCATTGCCATTTTGTTCAATAAATTTATGTATCAATCTATTTATGTATCAAGACAAATATAGTCGTTAACTGTTATTTTAGTTAAGGTCTGTGATGAGAATGGAGGATGTGATTATTTAAATCAGCTGTATACATCATTTAAGAAATCTCAGAATTCTTGGGTTGACGGTAGTTTAGCATTAATTAAGGGATTTGACTTTGTGCAAGTAAAACATTCTCAGCAATTTTACTCGTTTGATATATGCCGTATTTCCTCGAAAATTGACAGACCTGCGAAAATAAGCCGATTGGAAAATAAGCCGAAAAATATTAGAAAATACAGGGAAAATAGGCCGACCTCGAAAATAAGCCTAGACACAGTGAAGCGTTCGAATCAAATCGTTCGTTCATTCGAATCTACTGGCAAATTGTTTTAAAAGTTTGTTCAAATTTTGTTTCTCTTTTCAGAAAACACTTCGCAAATAAGCCGACTCATAAGTATGCCGAAAAATTTCACTTTATAGATAATAAAAAGCCGCGGCTTATTTTCGAGGAAATACGAAATACGAATTCGAGATATATTAGAAATATAGTCCCCGTTGCCATTTCCGGCAGTATGATGAACAAACTTCGTTCATCTTTAAAACCCATAAGTATAGAAGGGAATTAACAATTAAGATGCTCCGTCCATTGAAATGCCCTGATGAATTTCAAGAGCTTGGTGCGAAGGCAGCAGAAATAACCCTTAAAACGAATTTAGACTCTTGATGTTTTGAGGCTGGTGACACGTTTCGCTTTCTCGGCCTCCAAATCAGGCTGGTCATACTCCTCAAAACAGCCTGACCCGCACCCACTGTTTTATACCAAAATCTAACCGTGAGACATTGGTCAATAACCTGTTGAGTATTCGAAACTCTTTGCCAAACAAAGATTTGAAACCTATTCTTTGCTAGGGTAGATAAACTTCACATTCTTTGGCTATAGCGTCAATCATCTACAGAATTTCCCAGCTCGTGTTTAATTTTGTCCTATTTTTTCAAAATCATTCGTTCCTTCCACCGATATTACTCGAAAGCCCGTTTTGATACTGGTTGTTGATTGATTCCGACCTTTCAAAGCAAGATGTATTTACAGAATGATAGAATAACCAGAAATCATAGAAACTAATACTCAACATCCGGTTTTGTTTATTGTGAGGTCTTCATATTTTCGTATCTTAATCGTATTAAACATTTCATAAATTAGTTTTGGAATTCTCACAATTTAATGCATTAGGTCAAGTGTAGCATATCCAAAACTTTGCTTATTTTCAAATATGTCAAGTCGTTTTTCGTCAGTATGACGTCGTGATAAAACCGTTTGGGAGATATCAAAGATATATTAATTCAGGGTTGGGTGTATTACTATCTTAAAATACATTATGTTTTTAGTTTAGGTATTGCACGTTAATATGGGGATTTCAGTTCTTATAATATTTTCTGGCTTTCAGTTATTTATTAGCCTTCTAGTTTTGTTTAGTCTGTTTGATAATTAACAATCGATAATGGTCGTAAATAAAATAAGTACGAACGTGTAAATTTTCGTTATTTCCGTACATACAATAATACTTCAAACATGAATGACTGCCTTTGTCTGGAGATTAACTGCCTTTTGTTTTCTTAATTTTGCTGCGACACGTAGGAAGTTTTCAAGATAAAGAATTGATACATTATTCGTAGAGCTGAAAGCATAATCGTTGTTCCTCCCATTCGTTGTCTTATCTCTCTTCTTCTCTTCCCCCTTTTTTGACCTCTTCCTCTTCTTCCTCTTCTTTTATCCCACCTCTTCTACCCACTTTCTCCTTCTTTTCTCTATCTTCTTCCTCCTTTTTTCTCTCTCACTGACGCTATTTCAATTGATTTGTTTCATTGTTCAGGGTCCTCGTTGCGAGTCACTCGTCTTCACCTGACTTCACATCTCAAGCTTTTTCTAAAACCTCCCTCCAATTCTTTGCATAGCAATCCTCCTCTCTGTTACGTTACTGAAAGCTTCGCGCCCACTACCAATTGCTGGCCTGGTCTGACCATTGGTGGAATGATCTTCTTATCAAGGAAACAGGCTCCTTTGGTCACATATCTGCCTTTAGAATTCGTACCATCCATCCCATCAGTATCCATCTTACAAAATGACACTCGTATATACTTTAGTTATTGTGTCAGTCCATACAAACTACATCTGCGCATGCGCCAAACGCTATCCCATATGTGGTGTCATGACTTCTGTTGCTCTGGGTGATCAAGCGACATGTAAGATCAGCTTTGCGCAGTGGCATTACCGTAGTCAATGAGGTCCTACCGAGACGCGGTTATTGCTAATTGAAAACTTTTCCCAATATCCCGCAAGACGACGTGAAATATCGTCGGCTTTGCAATTTTTGACGGCCTCAAAAGAGGTCCCTTGAGATGAAAAAAATTGATGATGTCAGAGGGAGTTATATTGGCAAACTCACTTCCACAAAAAGATTGCGATCGCAAATTAGCGCGGATAGCGAAGAAAATAAATATTATAAAATTCATTTAATATAGCCGAGGACCCCCAACACCATTTGGCAGCCCTGATTATCAGCATGGAACAAAGTCACTTTTGAAATCTGACATTTGTTTTTATTTAGGTGACTCCTGCTTGTCTTCAACAACATAATGTTATCGCATAATAGAGGTTTTCGAAGCAATAATTCATCTAGAAATCGCAATTCAACTATCTTTTTCAGCAATTTTTTTCATTTTAATTTCGAGGAAACAAAACCTTTCGCAGGTTTCTACTGACAACAAAACATAACGAAAATGCTTCGTCTACTTTTGGTTATCACTTTCCAGCAATTATTTACAGACTTAATAGGATACATAAAGCTATACATTATAATCACAAGAACATGATATAGACACCTAGAATTGATATCAAACCCCAAGTTTGGAAAAGAAAGATCTTCTTCTGCTTTCCAATGTTATTTTCTCAATCAACCAAGGAACTCCATTATCAAAGGAGATTGGTTCGAGTGAGGATCAGCAGAAAGACCTCTTCATATAAGCTCGCTGCTCTGCTCACACTCATGGACGCACCTGGGTACCAGACTCCGGCAGACAATGTATCCTGAACACCACTTATATCAATTCAAACACTTCTCCTGCCTCTTCAGAATTTCTTATTTTGTTGTTATTCGGATGCATTTTCAATTTCTCTAATATTAGATTTTGCAATCAGATGAGTTTTCAATTTCTTCAAAGGCTTTGAATTGTCAATTTCTTCAGTGGATGCTCTTTGAATTGATTGATAGATTTCGATTTGGCCCCGAAATATTTCCTCCTTGCAGTATCTGAACCATCTTTTATGAAATAAAGTAATATTCGTATTAAAAGGATAATAAAATTTGATCATAGACCACTGGTTTAGTCGTACTGTCCCAAAGTGACTTTCTTGATAGAAAACTAGAGGAATAGACCAGTTATGGCCTAAATTTGCTTTGATCGTGTTCTGTATTTAACTGATAGTTATAAATTGACATGTCTTACGTGTTAGGAAATTTTAATCTTATCCAAGTTTAGTCCATCATATAGTAAATTATCAAATCAGTCAATTTCGCTGTAGATTTTAAATTGCCTTGAGGCATTGTCATACCAGCGTTTGTAATAATATGTCAGTAAGCGTTAACCAACACGGGAAATAGATTCAACCTAGGTATATAATATACTTCAAAGCAAGAAGAAAACAATACTTGTTTAACAATATTTTTTTTAGAATTATGAACAGAAATGGAAACAGGGGACACAAAGAAAGTATGCCAAATAGTGGTGGGCATCAAGTTTTTGCGATCAAGCTTAAATTCGTTCGTTCATTTAAAATGCTTTACTACTTTTAGGTATGTTTTGAAAAGGAATTCAGTACTTAATGTGGGCCCTAAAATGTGAGGCCCTTGGGCAAAATGTCCCCTTGTCCTCCCTCCTCTCTTCAGCCCTGTTCACTGGAGGCCGAATGTTGATTTGATAATTATAGTGATGAAAGAGACTAGTAATAGCATCACAGAATGAATCAGAAGCAAAAGATCGAGGTGTTGTAGGGGAGCGGTGGGCAAGGAAGATGACTCCCAAAAAAAAGATAATGACTTTCACTACGCAAATTAAAGCTAAATTTTTCAATGAAGAAGTCAATTTTCAAAGACGTCTTCAAATATCTTTCTCTGCAGCTATCAAAAAGTGAAAATTGTCATCTTTAATACAGCAGAACATCCATCATATAACCTGAATTTTCAACTAAACAGCCATTGCTAGACTATTTCTTCCATACACACTTATCTTTTGAAAAAGGTTCTTGTTTTTTGGATGGTTCTGTTTCTGTTTCTTTATGTTACTTATGAGTACATACGCTCAGGGTCTATTGTTGATTCCGGATTTCCACTGAACGCCTCTATTCATGCGAAGCTGTCTCGACCTTCAGCATGAGCATAATTACAAACTTTGCTGCAAAATGAAGTTTGGCCACTGGCAAGAAGTTTGATTTTCAGGAAATTAGATTTACAGCTTAATGATGAAGCCAGCACATGCCGGTGGAGTTGATGAAACATTTGCTAATAGGCGTCACTTTGTGTTCACATGCATTTAGCTAGAGAACAGTCGCTTCACATGAATAGTCCGCCCAGCAGAAATCAGGCTTTAGACTACTTTCAGAAAATTTGTCAATGCAGCTTTAAAGTCCTCATTGCTCTAGTGTAGAACCAATGGGTCAGGCAGATAGTTCCAATCACTAATGGTTCTTGGTACAAACGAATTCTTATAGATGTTTATATTGCAGCGCATTATTTTGACACATTTCGAGTTTGAAGTGCGTTGTTTCCGCTGGTTGAATTGCAATATGGAGTCCCTGGGTACAGCAACCAAGTCATATACGATCTTGTGAAAGAAAACAAGCTGTTTGGGTGATTTGAAACTCGAATGTTCTAAATGTTTTAATACTTTAATTTTCAGTTTACAGGGGAAAAAAAGAATTACAAATAAAAGAAGTAATTTTCGTATAAAAACGACAAGTAATATTAAAGGGATAATAAAATTGATATTCTAGCTTACATGATTTTGCAACAAACTAATCTTACTGTGTTTAAAAATATGATGCCAAATCATTGTCTATTATTTTACGATAAACGTTACATTCAAATTAAAAAAGGTGAGTTGAAAATTACTATTTTACATGTGAATTTCTACTAAATTCACTAAAATTAAATTCTGGGAATTCTTCTTTTGTCACACCATACACAAATGTTTTGAAATCTATGAAACCACGCTGACCCTAAAATAAAAATAGAATTAAATCAGTCCAATTTCAGATACTTAAAATGTGATGTTAGTTCAACAGCAAACACTGCTCCTTGTAATTATTTGATGCAATCTAATAAAAATCACATATAAAAGTTGTTATAAAAGTTGTCAGGTTTTTTTACTTTGCAGTCATCTCTTAGATTAGATATAAACCCTCTTTAATTCAATTTGAGGTCCTATGTACAAAATGAGACTGAAAGGCGAGAGAGCCTTTTGCCCTTATTTCTAATTTTATCTCAAATTGAATTAGAAAAGAATTGACCAGGAACAAAGACATTGATGTTTTTTCACAACAAATATCTTCTGAAAACATTAATAAAACATTTGGAATTGAAAAAAAGTCGAAGAAATATAAATTATTAAATAGAATGAAGCACCTTGTCGATTTTTTTGAATATTGACCTTGCTGTTTCCTTATCCACACTGCATAAATACACTGAAAATTCGTCAAATGTTACCAAGCCATCCTTATTTATATCTATATTTGCAAAATGTCCAAGTAGCTCCTTTAATCTGTCTGTATTCAACCTTTGAAAGGACAAAGGAACAAGTGAATCGAGGATTGGAATAGGACTGCTGTTAGCATTTTGCGGAATTTTAAACGATTAAAAGATTGATGATTTTTAAACGAAATTATTAAAACATTGATAATAAGAAATGGATGTTGATGATAAATGATAATTTCAAATGTGGTATCAACGTGGAAGCATGAATGGCTCCATGGTTCTTTTTGCTGGAAATCTGGTTGCTTACAACGTTGAATTGGGATAAAAAAGTAGTAAGTTCCTACCCTAAATCTAGACTGATTTTGCTGTACTCTACCAAACCAGCTTCCATTGGCAAGCCTTTTGAATGTGCCTCCAACATTAAGCGGCAATCTTCAAAACTATGATCGAATGTGGGCACTCCAAGGGCGCTAAAAGGTAAATGTAGAATTCAGAATCAGATCTGAATGGGAATAAGGCTGCATATGAAAGGTGACACAGAGCAGTATTTTGCATGAAACAGCAACTACAAAGAGTATACGAGAAAGTCTGTTCAAATTAGCTAGTAGGCACGAAAGTAGAATGCAAAGAATTTTTGAGAAATTATCGCTTCATTGGAAAGAGTGACCACCAGACCAGACATGAGATCAGATTGAATGACCCTCAAGCCATGAGTCAATCAAAAAATGTGACCAAAATGCAACATGCGGTAATACGCTTACAAAGGCGATCAAGAGGTACTATCTAATTAATCTAATCCGTGTTACCTCGAATTTTTCATCGTAATGGAAACTTAGCATGCGATGTAGGGAAAAAACTGTTCTCACCTTGCCATTACTTTTCTAACATTATTTGCATAAAGTATTGCATTTGCACGTTCCTAAATGGACAAAAACTCTTTTTATTGAAGGAAACTACGAATAATTAATTTCAAGCACAGCAAACCTCAATATTACCAAAAACAATTAGGTCTGAATTAGTACCCTTCCAATATACGTCAATACCATTTCAGAGGATACCAGCATCTCTTTAAGGGAAAACACGTGTAGCCTCTGCTTCATGAAGGAAAACCTCGTTTAAAGTATAATCATTCATAATTTTAACGCTGTTCTCGAGCAGGCGAGTCCAATTTATATAAACTTAACGCGTCTGAAACGACTTACCTAAAATGCCGAAATGAAGTACCAAATATTGCTTTAACTTTTATAAACTCAGTGATATCTATTACCCAGAACGAGGCTTCTTCGTCCGGTCATTATAGATGCAAATCTAGTTTTTAATTCCTCGTTAACTTGTTTCTTTTCGATGTTTTTTGGAAACACAGTGTCCAGAGGCTAGCCATAGACAGACTTTACATAGACACAATGGTAAACTTCAAGGTTCTCGTTTAACAGAGAGAACAGACAGAAAGTGGACAACAAACAGCAAACATACTGACCTCTTCATTTGGTTTATAAACAGGCAGATACTGCGAAGAAGGAGAAAAAGGCAAAACTAAGTTGAAATTCTATTTATGATTCTGAAGTCGAAGGGACGGTGTAATCGAAATGAGATGCTAACTTCACAGGGTGTGAGCATTGAAATTGTTGTCAGGGAGTCAGCTAAGATCAAATGGGGAAATCAAAACCCCCTTTCACCCCATATTTGTCGCAGAAAAAACACTTTATACCAAGCAAAATCTGCTTATCGTAATCCAGGAATTGATGAAAACTACGTAGCTACAGTGCGCTAGTACGATTTCACAATAGCTGTAAAACTGACACCCAGAAACTTCGCTTTTTATAAAGGTGAGTCTCTTGAAAGATGAAGAAATTAGCAGAACAATCCTGTAAAATAATTGCAATTATTCATTTTGACAGAATGAAATTTTACAGAGTAATGTTTTAAAATCAATAAGTTTAAAAGCTAGTTCGTTTCTAGAAACTGCTTTATACAATTATTTTATTTCGAAAGCTCTTCTTCTAAATGAACACTTATAAAAATTTCAGACTAAACAGTTTCTTATATTTTTGCAAATAGATTTGCGAATTTGAAGGGCACGAAATAGCGGAAGCATATAATGCTTAGGTACTTTTCATCCGACACTCTTCATAGAATAAACGCAGGGTAATGACCGAAAATAAGCAGAAATTTATATCCAGGTATGGATCGAAAGAAAAGTGAGAGGAAGAAAGATGCATTTAATTGGTCCTTTAGCTTATTTCAAATCAGCTAGCACTTACCCCTCATGAAGTAGAAATGTCCAAGAGAAAAAACGAACTCTGTCTGTCTACACAAGTCGGGATCCTTTGTTTTGACGTAAACAGATTCAAAAACTCCTAAATGAAAAGACGACCTTGCCTGCCCCCCGAGAAAATTTCAAAAAGTTAGCCAGCAGTTTTTTATAAGTGAGTTTCTTCTTTGCTGGTTTTTACTGTATTTGAGAGTGTACTTGGAGAAAATGCAACCAAACTACGATGCAGTTTTTTAGCTTTAACGAGTTTTTTTCATATTAATGAAATATAGTTAATGTTAGATTGACATACACGTTTGTATAACGAGTACAATCAGAAATATGCATATAACGGTCAATAGACGAAAAAGTACGTCAAAATTTTACCTCTATTTCAACAACATTGTTAATCCGAGTAAGCAATGACACCAGCAATTTCCACCTACAGCAAGGAAGAGAAAATGTTCTAAAAACCCAAAAGTGAAAAAATAATCATCCATAAACAGAGCCTGTGGCTATCGTTTGTCAGAGAAAGAGCAGAAACATCTTGAATAGGCTCATATATCATTTGAGGAATTTTTGCGTATGCATCGATTTACTGGCATACGACTGCCTTTTTCACCGATTAATGTTAGATTCCTTGACTCTGTGGAGTGAATCTTGTCACACATTTTAAACTAGCAGTGAGCATTGGTGATGATGGCATTAGTACTATAAAGATGCACAGAGCAATTTTGTCAATACGTATTTGCATATAAAAAAAGCAGAAGAAGATGAAAACAAACGCAATACATACGTTGGTGGTGAAATCCACGTCCAAGAGCCGCATTTTAAATAAAAATCCTGGTGGTAAAAATAAGCCCACATTACAGAAGAAGAAAGCTTAGAATAAAGTTTTAGTGAAATATTAGAAGTAGTCTTGTTTATGCAATAACCAAACCTATCGTGGTCAACTACCAAATGCATATTCAACTTTCCTTAACGAAATAATAAAGTCAGTTTAGGAAAACTTATGTGGCAAACTGATCTTTAGCAAGTAGCTTGAAAAAAGTTTTTTGAAAAAAGGCTTATAGACAGTAGTCTTCTAGAAATATAAAATCATCGTTAATAGTCCGGTTCAATGGCTTGCCTATGAAAATCGAGATCAGCATAACGATAAAGCAAATTAGTTTGTTACCTCTTGGTATCTGTAAAGAACTGGCTGGACAGGCACTCCAGCAGAAAATGCCCCTTGAAAGAAAACGGTGAAAGATTATTAAATTTTGCTTTTCTAGAGGGTTATCTACTGAAAAAATGGAATGAAATGGTTGCTATGCATCTCTCCAGAAATTGCTATGCTGCAATAAAATCACAAAATGCAACAATTTAACCATGTAATCTCTCATCAACAAGAGAAGGTATCATTACGTTGTGGTATCATTACGTGGTGGCGCTTTAGTTACCTGTTTTGAAAGTGATAAGACATTCTCCATTGGTGCATGTCCCTAGAAAAACAAAAATAAAGCAAATCAATGTGGGAATAAAGGACCTACAGTTTGCAAAGAAACATCTTGCTGCTGCATATTATCAATTCAAATTGCATATCATGAGTTCAATTTGTTTCCTTTTTTAAGCTACATTTTTTAGGATTCTCAAACAGAATACAGGTAATACGTCACCTTCTGGAAATACACAGATGGGCGGCCATGCCCCAACTGCCTGAGCTCTCCTTCGAATTTCTTTGACAGTGTCGTCCTTTGACGAGCGCTTTTCACGCTTCACATAAATTGGCTGCAGCGCTCGTACAGCCTCTAAAAATCAATGTTTGACAAATATTAACAGATCGTCATCAAAAGCAGATTCAAAGAAGAGTATGTTAAGAAATCCATTCAAAACCTTAGGCTCAAAATGAAAATGTCTTTTCGACGCCAGTTGTTATCTGATTGCACGGTGGAATAGAAACAATCTTGATTTCAAGTATTTAATTCCGTCCTAGGAAGAGAGATCATTTCTTCTTATTGTTCAATCGTTATGTCAATTTGTCTATTATTCAATCGTTATGTCAACTTTTCAAAACTTACTTTGATGAAGAGACGCATTAGAGATGTAATAGAAAATATGCAAAGAATATGATTTCCCTTTTAACTGCATCTATAAACAGATACAAATTGAAGGATCTTGGAGTAGGAGAAAAAGTTACTTTCAAAAATCTGCTTTTGCTGTAGTTGGTTTTTACTGTAAGTGCAAGATTAGTGATATTCGTGGTAGCAGGTTTACCGGCTAATAAAGAATAAAATAAACAGCACTTTGGGTGACAAATACGCAGTTTTTCGGTTCTCCAAAAACCAATGTTTACGTTTTGGCTTCAATTACTTACGATGATTTTGGCGACATATTAATGCGCATTGCAAGAAATTTTCTACTGCAAGCAACAGCATGGTACAGACATGCATTAAAGGGATTAATGAATTATTGGCCATGCACACTACAAGGGCATAAAAGCGTATTTTGCAGGGATGTAAAACATGAAACTTGGATGCCAAGAAAGATGAGAAGTTAGCGACAATAACATAATTTCTGCTACGATATCACAACACATTTGTTAATTTAAAGAGCAGATACCAACGGGATAATTCGCAAAGGAGCGTAATGGGGGGAGGTAAGGAAGTTATTTTGCCCGGTGGAATTTCCGTCTGTTGCCCTTTTACGCTGCTTTATACAAAAACTGATAACTGTGTTGCAATGTAACAGAGAGGGAATTGGTAAGAAAATGACGAAACAGTTTTGTATAGGGTGAATACGTTCTATATATGGCGGATGAAAAATAGGAATTTTTAGAGTGAACATTCAAAAATATTTTTGAAAGATAAAATCCAGCATGCTTTGTGAAAACTGCTATAATTAACAAAAACTCACAGAATGCCTTATGCTAGGCGCACACTAGAGATTTTAGCTGAGCTGAATGACCGCCGCACACGGTGAGCAAACTGCCACAAATGACAAAAAATATCAAACTGGTTTGATTTCTAGAAATTCGGCACGTAAGGCAAAATTCATACAAAAAACTGCCGCACATGCCTAGAAACAACTGTAAAAGAGGCATCTTTGATTTACGCGATTCCTTCCCTCCAAAAACCGAGTGCAACTACTACAGAGGAAGACAGTGGCAAGAACACTATATGTTTTGTCTTGGCTTTACGGAATCATTTAGCAGCGATTCACTTTGTCAGTGCGTATTATTGTGTCGGTTTAGATTCTGGTAGAAGGTCCATTGAATTCTTCATACGACAAACGGGCATTTCCTTTCATTGTAAAAAACTTGACGTGATTCTAGAGCTCCAAACATACCTATTTTATTTTTGTCACGAGATAAAGGTATGAGAAACTTTACGAAAATTAAGCATAAAATCTTATTACTCAAAGTAATCTGCAAAAGTTAATTACTTGAGAAATTTCTGTCACAAGCATAAAGAATGGATGTAGATAAAACCTACGTCCAATTATTGGCACAAGGTCATTCTCCTTTCTGGACATGAACGTCAGGCTCCCAAGGCCAGCCGTTATTGGCCCGTCCATGAAGTGCGAGTGTGGAGCAATTACAACCACGGGAGCTTCTTTAGAGCTCGCTAACTTCCCTTTCGTTTTTATGTGATGAAATCCCATCACAAATGTTATTGCTCGTCCTAGCTTTGAAATTATTCTTTGGCCAGTCCTGCAAAAGATTTACAAATAGCTATTTTTGCGACTTGTTCTAAAAATCAATCTTATCGAGACAGTAAAAGATAGTAAAGACGGTATACAAGGAGTGTGCTTCAACATGACGAGAATGGGGCACGGCTCTGACTTTCCCACAGACGCCCAAAATAATATCAGCCAGAATCGAATCCAAAAAATGAATCTGATTGGAGCGATTTGGAAAAAATATTCAATGGCCAGCCCAAATTTGGCATATAAAATCTGATCTTAGCAAGTTATCTTATGTAGCTGAGTCAGTGGTTTCCAAAAACCGGTTCCAAACTGACAATTTAAGATTGTTTTAAAACGCTAGCGAAATTCTTAACCTAAAAAATCGCAATCTATTGCCAAAGATGAGAGGATGTTTTCAAACCCAAAGAGCAAGTAAATCGAAAATTCCACACCAAAAAATTAACGATGTCCCTCGTCAAAATCTCTTCAAGCACATTTCTTTCGAGACAGTAAATACCAGAAGGCAGCAAACAGCGTCTACATGAAACCTGCCCGCGTGGAGTGACTGTTTGATCACATACCTACCTTGTTCTATACAAGTGAAAGTTTATGAATTGCTGAACAAAAGCATTATGCTGTGATTTAGAAATCGCTAAAGAAAACCGAAAGTATTGCAAATTGGAGTCATTTCATACCACGTGCTTTCACAATCGGTTATCAATCAAATGAGCTACGAAACAATCAACAATTTTTCTTTGATTTGGAGAAAATCCATTCAGCATTACATTGCATGGGCTATTATTTGTGAATGGAAGGGAATATGGAGTAAAAACAGCTTATACTGCAAATTTCAGCGTAATACAAAAGCGTAAACAAAGCATATAATATTTTCAGTATCATGTTCGCAGGGAATTGACTGTGTAATGAACTAATTTGGAAAAATTCATTGTCAATGCGAATTAATATCTACACGAACAAAATGATATCATAATGATGATGATGGTGAACATGACCTGAAGTGCAAAGGATCTATTCTTACTATTTCTTTATTGTATAATATAGGTTATAACAAAGCTATCTAAAATCAATGTATGCAACTAAAAGTGAGCTTCGTTTAGGCTCCTTTTTAAACCTTCATGTACATGGAATCAAACGACCAAACAAAATCTTACGTCAATAGACACATCTAAAGTCAAATCTTACCGCTGCAGTGGGTTTTATTTATTGCTCTTGCAAATATAATGAACATTACGTAGGTTTCGTATGGTTATCTTCGAAAATTTAAGATGAAATAAAGAGACAATAATCAAGAAACGATTCTGAACTGGAACAGTGCTGAAACCTAGACCTATCAGACTCTGTACAACTAGTTACACCTCAAATAAGCACCATACAACATGCGGGTAAACAGTAGTCATGAAAGTGACTGTGAACATTAAACTAATGGCATGATAATAACAAAATGAAAAAGCTCATTTGAATATGCTGATCTCAAATAAGGCCTTGGTAATGAGGTACCAAACCTCATACAAATGTGAGGATTAAAAGCAGAAACAAGAACCTACCTTCGGTAGCCTTGGTATGGCTCAGGCTCCACTTCATTGTTTGTTCCAAAATTTGAAAGGAAACCGACCAAACCACCAAACATAAAGATTATGAGCATTGCTGCTGCCCTTATGGGCAACAGGATTAGGCCAATTGTAAATAACTAAAAAAAAATTGAGTTTTATAATCTTAACTTTCATCAGATTTAAAGAATTTGCAAGTTTTCAACATTTTTTTAAGCTATTGGCAGCTTTTTCAGCAGAAATGACAAAAAAATATACTAAAACAAAAATAATCACAAATACAATTATGGGTTTAGTGCTAATTGCCATAAGAGAATATTAAGGAATTTCATGTGCATAGACAAAAAATATATGATGTGTAGAAAACTACAGCGAAAATTGGGCATCTGAGAGATGATTTAGTTAGTATGATAATAGATTTTCATGGGTTTCGAAAAAGTTGATACTGCACTGGTTACATATCCAGGGGTAGTGCTACAGGGAGAGTGGGGAGGATTGACGCACCCGAGAGTCGTGAACGGCAGTTTACTCGGAAGATTCGGTTTTTTAATTGCTTACTCGGCAAACCTGGTGATCTGCATAAGGCAAGAATTAACCTGGGACCAGAACACCCCTTGTTCATGTGACCAGTTCAAGGTCAACCAATAGCATCGCAGTCATGGAAATCATGACTCAGCGGATTTTGGTACTTAGGGTATACCCAGTCTATTATCATGACCCAATGCCTTTAAGAAACTTTTCTAGCGCCGTCTGTTTATAGCGATAGAGTTTCTAGATTTTGAGATCGATTCAAATCGATAGTTGTCCATCCATTCAAATAAATAGTCTGACATACTCGCAAGAAAAAACTTAAGTCTGGAAACTGGAAACTAACAATATTGGGTTTTGTAACTTATCGTGCACACGGGGGCAGTGGTCTCTCACTTTGCTTTGTGTAAATTGCTCGGATTTCGCGAAAATTCCATACATTTCCCAACATAATTTTTCAGAAAAAACAGTATCACATCCCACAAAAACTCTTTTAGTACAAATGGGTTTCATTTAAAGAGAATTGTGTCTTCGTAGAAAAAACAGTATTTGCATTATATACTCATCACTGTCAACTGAAAAAAGCAATACAGCTGAGACCCCGTTTACACGAGATCTGGACCAGATCGGATCCACAAGTATCCGGATACTTTTGGATCCGATTCCTGAAATGGCAATGCGTTTACACAGGATCCGATCCAGAACCATTTGCGTTTAGACGGGAACGGATCCAGATGAATTCAATAGCTTACGCGCATGCGCTTTTCAAAAATTGGTTCCGAATAAAACCTGGCCAAAACAAAACAGCGTAGCAAACCTGATAACAGGAAAAAAATTTTCTTCAATTCCACCCTATGGAGTCAATATAGTATTTCTTTGTGAATGAGGGAAATGGATTGGAATGCAATTACTGTGTTTGTAAGTTATTGATTGATCCTTAAAAGGCAAATCAACTGTTTCTAGCTGTTTCTTTTCATAAAATGCTGTTTTTAGAGACTTGATCTCTAATCATGCTCCATATTTCAATGTTCTAAGAACTGTCCAAAACACAACCTTACTGTATATTGCATATTTTTTATGTAATATGAGGTTTGTCTATATAATACAAATCTGTAACTGCTACTAAGCTTTAAAAACTATGCCTGGCTAACCTATGAATACTCAAACCAAAAAATGTTCTTATCCAAATATAAAATATATTATCTCAATTTATATTTTTCATCGTGTTCTTTCGGACCCTTATTCTGACATTTTATGCTCTGAGGAAGGCCACCATTCGATGATGGAAGTGACAATAGGTTTTTTGGCCATGCAATACAAGAAAGCCCAGGTTGTCGGAGTTCCTAGGATTATCTGAAAGAAGAAGCTTCCCTGCGAGAAAATTTTGTGACCACGCCATTAAGATTAGCTTAAAATATAATTCAGAATATTTCTAGCAGTTATTTTCTTGCAATTAATTAAAACATTTTGTTTTTTAAAGACATGTTTTAATTACATTTGATTAATTCCAGTCTTTAAATTTACATAATTACTTTAAAAGACCCAACAGACCTCGGCTTATTCCTTGGAATCTTAGCAATAACAGGATTTATTGCACTATTCTTTTTATCTATTTCTTTTCCAGTATTATTTCTTTTTTCTCAAAAACACTTTTTGCATTATGAAGTGCATTTGTGATTAACTGTATATTATTTTTATTGTTAAAACTGGTTTTAGTTGCGTTTCACACGCAGGTTGATTCTATTATCTCCTTTGACTATCGATTATAGTTTGTATTCATTTATCTTTATTCTGAAAACATCCAAATCAGTAGTATTTGGAGCATTTCACACTGAAAAGTGAAGTAATTCATCACTGCACAAATTTCAATCCATCACTGCACATTTTCGATTCATCACTGCACCTTAAATTAATCCTTGACTCACAGGTACGCTATGAGGCAAATTTGTTTACTTCCGCCATTTTGAATAGTGGCAAAAAGGAGCCTACTCCATACTGAGCCCTTATAAATTTGATTTCGTTCACTTCTCTTTCGAATATCGATGTGAAAATTGGTGAGTGGTCTTATACTTTACTTAAATTTATGAATTGATGTTAATATTGGAACAATAAGCCGTCATTCGGAAATTCCAAGTATTTACAGTCGCGGTGCTTGCTGTGGTGTTTTCTGTCTCGTCGAAATTCCAGAAAATATTGATTGATCTGTTTTAAAAGGAACCATCGACAATTTTTAGCCACTCAATGCATGATTTTCTTAACACATTTGTACAAAGATGTGATTTAGTTACTTTTTCTTTCTTGGTTTACAGCAACTGCTATGAAATATCAAGGCCTTACTCTAGAAAAAGCCGAAAATAGGTCACAATTCAAGGCTTGAATATTAATAACAGAATTTAAATATAGCAACCAATTTTCAATTTGATATAATTTTTTAGACTATTTCAAAACCACACTCGTTGCTTGTAATTATTCCTCAGCAAAGTTCGTCCCTCCCCCGTATCTTTAGCCCTATAAAATACCTTCGGGGTACATTTCCACGATAAAGATTACTAATTTGGCCTTATAAAGAAGAAAAAAAATTTAATTCATATGAAATTTTATTTCTGCAAATTCGATTTGACAAACCAATTATAAAAAATTCGCACTTTCCTACTCATGCCATATTGGGTTCTAAATGACAGACAAAAAAATTCAAGAATTATATATTTAAAATGGTCTATATTATTAGATGATAGACTCGATAAGTTATTTGGGATTTATATGAAGATAAAAATTGGAAGCACATACTTTTTCAACTCATAAAAACACGACAGGCCACTGCTATATTCCCCCCGTAACTGGGTAAACTAAAAGAGCAATATTTTTCAAAATTCTGTTTTAAAAACCCCCAAAAATTGTAACCTGTTGTTGATTTATATCTCCTCTAACTACTTGCATCAGAAAAGGCACTAAAATAGTTGTGAGCCACGAGAAAATCAGTCCTTAAAACAAGCAATTTTCCATACTGAACCCTATTGCAGCTAGCCTGAGCCTGGAACTCAGGCTATATCGCAGCTCACTTTTTTCCACTATTTAAAATGGCGGAAGTAAACAAATTTGCCTCACTCGGCAGTAGGCAGCATGACCCGAGTTGACATCTAGCGCCTTCGGCACTTTTTTACACGGGATCTGGTCCAGATCGGATTTCAAAAGTATTCGGATAGCGGATCCAAAAGTATACGGATCCACCACCGTGTAAAGGCAAGGCCGTACTCTTCGTGTAATTAATTGATTTGCTGAAAAAAATGTTTTGAGTTTTGAGTTTGAGTATCTGGAAAAAAAAATTTCAAGGACAAGTGACACACTTTTCACCCTATCTTTTCTTTTCATTAACTTATAGATCATCTTTTAGAAGTACGTCTTTCCTGGTTTAGAACAAAAATTCTAATCAGGGGGCGCAGGGGGCGCAAAGGGCGCAGGGGGCGCGATTTTGCTTTTTATCACGTGACCCTATGACGTACATTGTGATAACTCGGAATCTTCCTGTAATTAAAAGAGAGTTTGCGAATCACGATGCGACAGGTCAAGACGAACTGAATTCGTTTAAAAGTGTGTTGTAAACGTTAATATTGCACTGTATACCAGTAGCAGCAATAACAAATTATCACAATCTATGTCACGGCGTCACGTGATTCATTTCCCGCCATAATTTGAAAAGGGTTTCTAAGTAGGAAAATGAAATCAGAAAGAAAAAATATTTCAACAACACTCTCATACAACATTTTACTTTAAGTTAAAAGAAAAAAAACTTTTTTTTATCGCATAAACGAGGTCTGAGAGTCGATCGCAAGTAATTCGAGCCCAGTCTACTTGAGGGTGCAAGCCGAGCGATTCGCAGTGAACGGCACTCGCTTTAAAATTTCGAGAAGGAAAATGCCTGGAGCAAACTGTTCCGTTGTTGGCTGCAACTCGAACCGGAGAAACTGTACATTGGCTATATTTAAAGTTCCGTCTGGCAACGACGAATTCAACAAAAAATGGAGAAAAGAGCTCGTAAATGTCGTAACGAAATACCGTATTGTTGACGCAGGCCTTAAGAAACAAATAGAGAACTGCAACGTCAGGATATGCGAGAAACATTTCAGTGAATGTCAGCTGAATTACTGTAAATTTTTCACGAATTTATTCTTGATTTTAAAATTGATATCAATTGGATGCTTTGCATAGGCGTAAACTTAGGGGGGGCTCTGGGGCTTCAGCCCCTCCTGACGAAAACCGAGGGCTGAGCCCCCCCCCCCCCCCGGAACTGCTTTACCAATTTTTAGATTAGTTTGTTATATTATTGGTTTCACGCACAAGATTTGTTGCATTAGATAACTGCGTTTACAGCAAAATAAAGTATGAAATAATTGACATTTGTGTGTTTCTTCTTCCTCGATAATGAAAAATGCACGGTAAAATCACCTTTAACAGAAGCTCCCATCAGGAATTGTCATTAATTTTGTGTGCCTTCCCCCTGAAAAAAATACGCCTATGATGCTTTGTTCTGTTGATTGTTGATACTGAAATTAGTAACTGTGTAGGTCAAGCCTGGTCTCTACCAAAGGCTACTGTAGCAAAACCTAACTACTTTTGTCTTTTCTACAGATGCAGGGAGAACTACCATGAAACCTGGTGTTATACCCACACTCAATATGCCAATGAAAAGCGTTCCAAGGTATATGTGAACATTATTATGATTAATTTTAACAGGTTTATTAAAACAGATTTATCAGGGCTGTTTAGGAAGTATCCTTTAGAAAAAAAAGTATGCTTTTAAGTTGATTATTAAATATAAAAATATTAGGGATTTAATTAGAATAGGAAGGAGAATGTTTCACAAAATAACAGAAGCATTATTTATTTAATCAATATAATCTTAAAAGTCTTTTTAATCTTTTCTCCAATTTTATTTTGAGATAGATGTCCAAATGAAATCAATGTATACATTAAAATTTTTGTAATTTGATAAATACAAAATATTTGATTGATATGGTAACCTATGATTTCAGCGAGAAAAAGCAAGAGGAACGAAAATCATCACTATCTGTTATTGAAAAAAGAAATATGTTGCCAGAACCATTGCCACCTCCTCCATCTTTGTGTTATAAGTCTTTCTGTGAATTCAAGGAAAGAATAAAAAAGCTGAAATTGAAAAAATGGCTGATCGAAGAAGAGGATACTTTTCTGTGCATATCCTATACTGATGACGCACACATAATACCAAAGTATGAATTGTATGCTGCTTCAAACCTTTCTTATATATTGAGAGTGTTTGGCTGGAAGATACCAAATAGCCATGAAATATATGAGGACTACCAGACTTCATTTGAAAATGTCACTTTATCACAGCTAATAAAGAGAATTGAAGAAGAGACAATTTGCAGTGGTATTCTAAAGCCAGAATTGGTGGATATTTATTCGTTTCAGAAACACAGTATCCCAAGGAAGTTCAATCCTATGGAACTATGTGCAAGCCCACTTTCACAGACTGTATTTTACAGAGCTTTTGACTGCACAATTTTATCACAGGACCAACAGCAATGTAAGCGCTGTTTATCTTTGGAGGCTAGGGAAATCAAAAGATTGAAAAGGAAAAGGGACAAATTAAAAGTACCGGCAAAACTGAATGCCCCAATTAGTCATACTTCATCTGAAAGGATAAAGGCCACACTGCAGAGTTACCGTCTTGAAAACAAACAATTGAAGGCACAAATTGAAGAAATGAATGTAAATGAGTTAAATGTGTAAGCAAAGAGTGATTTTAGGAATAACTTAGATGAAACATGACCACAGGCAAGGAAGGCAGAAGTGTTGGAGTTCATTTTGAGTGAACCCCAACACTCTAGAATCATTAAGAAGTTGTATCCAACATTATATGTAGTCTCAAAACAATTTTTCTTTTCTGCTACCTATTTAATGAGTTTAAAATTTTCTGCCAGTATTCCATTAAATAGGACATGACCTAATTAAGAAATCTCAATTTCATTTGAGTTTGCAACTTAAGGTGTTAGTAATTTCAAAGGTATTAAATCCTTTGCTTTAATAACTCTTGATAGAAGTTACCTTTACCTAGTATTATGGCATTAACTTAAATAATATTTTGGCAATATAGATCAAGCTTTCTAAATGTCACCATACCGTATTTTCTCTTGTATTCCCACATCTCTACTATTCCTGCCTCTCTCATAATCCTATCTTTTCTCTATATTTTGAAAATTAATCGTGCCTCTCAGATTGCCCCGCATGCAGGTTTGATTTAAGAAATAAATCAATGGTTTGCAAATGTGATTGGAGCCTTGAATGGTTTGAGGACATATCCAGTCTCTCTGATAATCCTGCATTTCTTGTAATCCCACATTGAATAAGGAGATTGGATCAAACTTTCCACAGCAGAAATACGAGAGAATATGGTATTTGTTTTGAGTCTTTTTTAACATATTTTGTAAAAAGTTTAAACATTGAATTATATGTATATGTTTCTAGGCACTAAAAAAGGTTACATTTCTTCTTATTTACTTTTTTGATATAATGCATTGAAAGAACAAAGTAAAATAATACTTGAAAGACTTTAGAAAGAATTAAACCTTATTTTTACAATGTAAATTAGAGTAAATGATAAACAAAGAAATGAATTCATATATTGCATAAGCTCAATTTTTTGACTTTGTTGGTATATTTTTTTAAAAAGAGAATATTTTTTGTCAACTCTTAAAGTTTTCTAGAAACCCAGTTCCCCAGGTTTGATACCCATACTTTTTGCAGCCTTTATCACAAATACTTCAATAAGTGGTAAAAAGTCCATGTGGCTCAAGGATTTTTTCTTGAAGCACTCTGAGGAGTGTTCTTAGCTCAATTCAAAGATGCCTGCCAAACTTTACAAAATCTGAACAGGAAAAGGTGCTCCAATAATTAACATTAAATATAAGGAGCCAAGGCCTCTATTTGGCTCAAGGGATCAGTCAGGATAACACTCACTCAATTTTAACTAGCGAGCTTTTGATTGTTCAGAAAATGCTAAAGTAGCTGGAATAGTTCTCTTTAATTTTTGAAGAGAATCACAGAAAGTAACTTTAAATTTATTTGAAATGTCTCATTAGGTAAAACATTTCTAGTCGTCATCTCCTGCCATTAAAGCCAGTGACATGGATGATATCAAGCCAACATTTCAAAACACAGAAAGCAACAGTAAGCTTGTATTTATTCATTCATATTTAATCATATCTATTGATCGGTAATCTGTACCATGAGCAATCACTTACAAAAAAGATGCACAATTGGAAATAAGAACAAACATTTTACAAATTAAAACTGCATTTAAAATGTCACTAGAAATCGTTTTTATGAACACAGTTGAAAACATCTAGCTTCTAGTTAAAGTGATTACTGGGGTTTAACTGTCAGAATCATAATGAATCCTATCAAAGAAGTTAATTTGGCTTGCATTGATCACATTCTCTTAGAGAACTTCAATCTCAAAATATCAGTGATTTTCTTAATGTATGATTTCCGCCAGTTTGTAACCAAAATATTTGATGTAATGATTATAATGTCGACAATGAGGAAATGATGCTTGTTTCCATTAACAACTTGACCCTTTATTCAGGAAGGCTGTAACTTTTGTGGACAGACAAAAAGAAATAGCATTCAGTTTGACCAGATAAGAAAAAAGCTAAAACTTGAAACCAATCAAATTCAACATCTATAAGTTTGACTTTTTAAAGTTCTTCTTCATTATATTAATCACATCAGATTCCAACTCGGTTGAAAAATTCTCTCCCTTGTCCTTTCTGATTGCATTATCTATGTTTCCAGATTTTTTTGGAGCTTCAAGACAAAGTCTCTTACTTCAAGACAAATACTTATAAGTCTCTTTTTGCAAATAAATATCAACAGCTCCTATTATTATAGCACTTCTTTCCATGACTGTCCAGTCTGTTGTTCCATTACTGTCTCATCACTTATTATCAAATTGTTGTTCCTGCTTATGAGTAACTGATGTTTGCTGTGGGTGTCACAAGGGTTTACAGAACAATGCACTTTGAAGAAAATTTGTCGCAGATGACAGAAATTTGGCAATCCCCAGAGGGATAGAAAAGAAATAGAAGAAAGAAATAATGCGATAAATCCTTTTATTGCTTGATTTCCAAGGAATAAGCTGAGGTCTATTGGGCCTTGTAAAGTAATGAATTCCATTTGAAGGCTGGAATTAATCAAACATACTAAAAGCATGCCTTAAAAATAGCAAAAATTTTTAAATTATTGCAAGAAAATGACTGCAAGAAATATTCTGAACTGCATTTCAAGCTAATCTTAAAGAACATGGTCGCAAAAAAATTTTTTCTTTTAGATACTCCTAGACCCTTCAAAAACCTCTCGTCGGCCCCTTCTAATGTACCGCTAGCATAACGATTGCCCTATGAAATCATAGCCAAAAAATATTGTGAACCATTTTAGTGTGTTCTTTCAAAATTTGGTTTTTTAGTCTAACAATGCTATCAACTCGAGCTCCCCCCTTTGCTATCAATTTTAGACACAAAACCTGAATTCTTGCAGAAATAAAAAAACATTGCTGTGCTAAAAATCTTATGAATATCTTTCTTTGTGCTTCACAAACCACATCCTTCCTCAACATTTATCTGATTATAAGTCGCTTCCAAACTGCTTTCTGATGATGAAGATTGAAAAGCTCACTGAAATGCAATATATCATCAATTTGCTTCATGTTTTCATATTTTAGAGTCTCTCATGCATCCGTAGGGGAAACGAAACGAAACAAAGATTCCCTAAATACCAAAGCATATTTCCTCTGAAAGTACCCAAGCCTTGTCTTTTTCTGAAAAATTGGCATTTAAATTTCTGGGTAAAGGCCAATTTCAATTTTATCACAATTGGCTAATGACATGCAATCTTCCGTTTGAAATTTGCATACAAATGTTCGCCAATGACATGTGAACTATGAAATTCTGCCTTGTTTGTAATGTCTTATTTTTTGCAAACTTTCCCATGTAAATGAAAGTCCCAGATAAAGAGAAGTACAAGGAAAACAGTAATGTACAGGAGTTAGCATGGGTACAAATAGCTATGAGCCTCAAGCTGCATTCCCTTTATTGGGCTTGCTGATCTTTTCTATATTTGATTTTTTTCTGTGCCATCTGCTTCATATTAACAACAACAATAAAAGTCATATTCTGAAAAAAAAACTGTCATCTTGTTCTTTGCTCCATAAAAGATAAAAGAAATACGAAAAAAGTTTTGAGTGCATATTGATATGCAAATTAGGAATTGCAAATGGTGTAGAAATAGGCCTTAACTATCAGGTATATGTGGCCTTCTCCAGATATGCAAGAACCTAGTCTGCCACAACAATTGCTACCAAGATTCTTGAAAAATCCATCTGTTTTTGTCTCATACTCATGTAGAGAGGAAAAAAACTTTTCAGCATTCAACTTGTAATCAGCAATTCCATTCTTTATGTAAAAATAATTGGCAAGTTCAACTTTAGAGATAATTTCAAAGGGCAGGAGGATAATAAGCCCCTCTAAGATACCTTCACAGCTATCATGGACTATTTTCTTTAATTGGATGGGGTGTGATAAAAATTTTATCATAACTTCCTCATCAATTTTATCTCCATCATCTTTGGCTGATCCTCTCTTCTAGTGAGATTGAAGGTGGTTTATTGGCCATTGGTTATTTCATTTATTGCTTGTTTTACAAGAGAAAATTCAAACTAAATTGTGTTTACCAGGTTACTGAGTAATTTTCAGAAATATCTTAATTTCAAAACAAACTACTCACCCTAATTTTATCAGTCATACTCCAATGTAGAGAACCATGAAATGGATTTGCTTTGTTGTGTGTCAGAGATTTAACATTCTGGGTGTCCATGATTATGCCAGGTTTGAATCACTTGACAAATCTATGCAGATAATAAAGATTTATTATCAAAAATTGACATAATTGATGAGCTTTGGCCAAGTTCGAAAACTTACACACAAATGCAGCTGCATACACTCCCCTCACAAAAGTATTGCTCCACCTCGAAAGAGATGAAATTGCATAAGAATAATCAAAGGCTATTGTTGTGCGAATTGATTGTGTTTTTAAGTAGCGGATGGGAGTGGGTCAGAAGTGAAACAACCACCAATCAAAACATCAATCTTTTTAGAACCCTTTTTGAAAGAATAATAGTAAGAAATGTCTTTAAACAGATTCAAATTTTAATATTTGGCAGGAGCTACAAACTTTTGACACCGCTTTCACCCTTCTTAAAATGGTACGATTCTTTGGTTCTTCAAGAACCAATTAAATCATGGTTCGATACGTTTTTCATACAAAGCCAAACATTTTCAATAAAGTGAAAATCTGGACCGGATGGACGCCATGGAAAAACTTGGAATTCTTCTTGTTTGGAAACAAATCGTTGTAAAAATGGTTTCCTTTTACTCCAGTAACTTTTTATTTTGTATTTGTGTAAGACACTCATTCTAATTTGCCTGGAAGGATATCAAGCTGAAAAACCATTGCTACATCCATTGTAGCAATCGAATATAATACATCCATTGCTTGGCTTCTTTGCTACTGAAACACTCTCAAGAAAACATTTTTAAATTGTCAGCTGTTGTGGCTGCATCTACCTTGCTCAGCAATTTTTCAAAAATAAAGTCCTATTTACCGTATATATTTTATAGCAACTCACCTCTAGCATATTCTATGTTTTTACAAACAAAAACTTTTTTGCATAATTTATACATTTCTAGTTATGTTTTCTGGTGTCAGTGAGATTTTCAAGAATTTCCTACAAAAAGTTACTACAGTACGCCTATTTCACCCAACTCATGCATTTAAATGTTTGGTATGGTTGAAAAGTTGACAAAAAGTGCCACCATTTCGAACAAGGTGGTGCAATACTTTTGTGAGGGGATTGTTCAAGGCTTGGACTCCAAACTTGCAGGTCAAATGGTCCTTACACAAATCTCAGGAAATTCAACCAGAATACAGGCAAAATCAAAATACTTTTTCTAAAGTAAGTTTTGACCACAATTACAGCACAAATCTTGAAAACTTAACCAACTTGTAATTATATAGAGGTAAAATCATACATTTCTTGCAACCTTTGGATCACAATATTGTCATCAAATTCCAACTCTTTGTTACTTTTTTGCTTATGTGAAAAAAACGAAATTATGTGGGCACCTAAAACTTAGTTTAACGTAGAAAAACATACACATGAGAATGACACCCTCGTGATTCAATTGAAAGAATACACGTGTGACTTGTCAACGACATCGGCCTAAGCAAATCAGCATGATTCCTGCAACATGGTATTATGCGGAAATCTTTATGTCTTTTCTGCCAAAGAGAAGTCTACTTACACACCCTAACCATATGTGACATGCCTGAATGGCGGCTTAGCAACTCTAGTAAAGCTATTCGCTTAGATTTAGATTGTTCAGTTCCTGGTAAATTTGAAGCAGCCTGTGTCAACGTGTTCGAAAAATACCACTGTTCTCAAAGTTGAAGCTGTCGCTGTAACTCAGCTGACAGCAATCATTATGTTGTGTAAATCTGTAAACATATATTATCTCTAGATATGCAACAAAACAAAATCACTAAAAGACTTTAATCACCTCTGCTTCGCGCTTGGAAACTTTTCGCTGTAGCCCCTGTTAGGCCGGACAAAATGTAAACAAGCTGACTCAATAAGAGGCCACTGTGATGTAACAATAATCGATTTCAAGGACAGAAATGCTATTTGCCAAAACAACTTCTATAAAGCAACGGTTATAAAGCAACGGACAAAGACTTTACAGGGTTCTCACTGCAGGGTTTTCTATTCTTACGATTCACAGAAAATAGGCGTAAATTCTACAATACCAGAATAAACTCAGTTTGTAACGAAATCAGTCAAAAAGTTCAAACTGTGATCAAATTTAGCTTAGTACAGTGTGCATGGCGTAGCTTAACCTTTCAGACCAGGGGGCGGAGCAAACTTTCACGACGAAGACATAGATGTAGAAAGCTATAGGTGCTATTTCACATACCTCGAGCGAAAGGCAATGTTGCCGGCCAACAACTAAAGATTTTGTGGACCAACTGAAGATTTACCGGTCAACTAAAGAGTTCACGGTATGCCACACCTCTCTGCATTTAGTGCTTTTTATGGTTGCCATAGGCAAGAAATAGCTATTATAAAGATACTGAGATGAAATGAAGGAATTGCAAAATGGGTCCGTAAGTTAGTTTTGGGGGTATCTCTGCATCAAGAGTGCAAGGTCACGAGTTACTAATTGACGAGAATATGATAAAAAGTTTGGAGAAAAAGAAATGACTAGGCTATTGGGCGTGGCTGAGCAACCTTTTAAGGATACACGGAAGAACCTGTGTCCTTAGTTTCCAACATTTACGACGATTGTAAATATTAAATCCAGCTATAACGACAGAAAGATTGTCAGAATATGATAATATAAAAACAAACAGTTGCATTTTGACTGTGATGATTCGTTAATGAGATAAATGATATATAACGTTTCGTTATGATAATGCGTTCGTTCGTGATAATTTCAGGTGACAACTTCTCCTCAACAATTCTAAAGATAATACCCTATACAGAAAAGTAAGAAGGCTATTACGCAGGCGCTTATATACAGTGTGACCAACTAAAAGAATTCAACTTTGGCAAACATTTTATAACATATTGGCTAAAAGCTTGACACTCCTCAGGGCATAAAACATCAGAAAAAGGGTCCGAAGGACCACGATGAAAAATAGATATATACCCAGTTGTGGATCGAAATAGGCCAATCAGAAAAATGCAAGCACAAGACAGGTATACTTGTCCAATCAGTGCCGCGTGCCTAAAGAAAACAAACCACTGGAGCCCAGCAGAGAAGGTAGGTTTCCTGTCGCTGTGTACGAAGAATACTTGTACTCTTTAGAGGCTGTTGTAGACAGTTATGTATACGTTGAAATATGTAAAATATCTTCGTACACAAACATTCGTTTATTTTTTGTTACAAAAATATCAGAAATGCCGGGAATTTTTTCACTGACAAGTCCGTCTAGAGCAATGGTGTAGTGCTATCAGAAAAACAAGGGAGGCTCTCGCACAGATTGTTGCTAATAACAACAGAAAAAGTAGAAATTGGCTAATTTTTGGAATCAACAGGGGGGCTCAGCCCCCGAGCCCCCTAGCTCTACATCCCTGGTCTAGAGTCAATAGAAAGAAGGCCCCAAGTCAAGGTCAACAGCTGTTGCCAGTTATAGATGAACCTTTTCTGCCTGCTTTGTATTTGTCTCAGGCATATACTATGTCTCAGGGCCAGGGGCGTCGTGGCGAATGAATTCTAGAGCGGACAAGAAGGAAAAATTTTGGGAGCGGCAGAAAAACTCATAACTTTTGCCTTAGCTGGAAAGAAATTTAAAATGCACTTTTATCTTGTCTCTGTTTCTTCATACTTACAGTGAACGCCCCTGACATCCGGACAAGGTTAGAATGAAGTTACTACTAAGGATAAGAAACGTTTTTTTATCATCTAATGCTTCAAATTCGTCGGAAATCGCCATATTTGAAAGCAAATTTTAATGATAAAATCTTATTCTTAAATTGAATATTCACTGAGGGAAATCTCTTGATCGACTTCTATCTTGTTTTACCTTATGCAACATAACTGCAAAAATTTTCAAATCTGGAACACAATTTTCAAATATCTGGTGATAGGAACAAAATTGGTACTGTCTTGGTCTTCAATATCAAATAAAGATATAATTTTTACCAATGATGACCAATTTCCATAGCCCAATTTGACCTTTGAAGTTTCGGATTTTAACTGACAAAATCCGAACAGCAAATCACTCTATGATAGGAATCGGTACATTTTGAGAAATAATTTTGTTTGTGGACATCTAGTATTTTCTTTACAAAAGTGAATGGCCTCTCGAATTTACGGTCAGTACTTTAGTCGAAGTGATTATTGTTCCTTAGAGTTTGAAAATTACCCACAGCTCAAGTTCGAAAATTCTCCGACAAAACAATGATTTTTTCGAATATCCACCAAATTGTGTGAGTAGAGGGGGCCACGCCCCCTGCCCCCTCGGCTACAATGCCCCAGCTTAGGGCACTCGGGCAAAACCCCCCAGCCAGGGAAGTTGGACTCTTGCAAAGCGTACCTTCCTTGACTCCGGCATCGCTGACCACTCAATTCAATTTCAATTCAATTCAATTTCATGTGTATTCTCAGCTTAATTACAATATACTGATCTAATCAAACAATTAATCAAGATACAATTTCAGTTATACTTCATACATATGAGGTTCAGATGTTTAAAATATTTACTTGTATCTATAAAGTTATAGCTGAATGAAACATGGAAATAACCCATTGGGGCTTTCGAGCCATGTTTTATATGTGCTATAGTCATCATTCTTTTGATTAATCAATTTTCTGCTTGTTATCGGTTCAGAGGCGGATCCCGAGTGAGTTCGTTGGTGCACAGAACTCAGTCAGTTATCCTACATATAGCTAAAAATAGTGTTACTTGAAACAAGTAATATTTAAACTAAAAAAGTGAAGCCTAAAAATTCTGCGCAGTCTCTTCAAAATCTAAAAATTGCCAGTTTGATGTCATTCGTTCGCCCTTTTCGTTTCTTCTTCTCTGTCGTGATTTTGAAGAGTGGTTTTTTGAACGATTTTCCAGATGCTATGGAGGACAACAGCGGTCAATCCTAGAACTCGGAAATAAAAGTTTTATGCCTCGGAAATGAATGAATTCAAACAATAAAATTTTTGTTTGGAACACAGATTGAGCTCAGTCAAAACAGCATCTGGAACTCGGAAATGATACCATATTTGAAAGAGAGCTGTAGAATAGCCAGTAGTTAATTGGCTACCTATTGTTTCTGTTCTATTGTTCCGATTGTTAAAACATTGAATTCAAAATGGCAACTGCAGATGTGTTTTAGGCCCTTATACTCACGCCTTAGCAGCATTCTAGCAGATTCTTAAGCGTTTAAGTTAAAACAAGGAAATATTATTAATTTTCAGGAGCATTATCTACCTTGGTTTTAAATTGGAGTCTTAAATGGCACGGGAGACCTATGCTCAGAAGAAACACCATATTTTGATGAGTATGCTGGTGTCTACGGAGGCAAAACAACAAATTACGAGCAAAACAAAAGGGAAGAACTTTTCTGTGGCATCCAAGACAAACAAAAGGGTATTGAGAAAAGGAGAGGGGTTGCAAAAAATTCCACAGAGGCACTGTCTTCTGTCAGAAAGAGATCTTGAGTCTAGATTTAGTGAGTGGTGAGTACTTACCACTCCCTCCCCCTTTAGAATCTAGATTTAGTATGTGGTGTGTACCTACCTCTCCATTCCCCCCTTATGGTACCAAAATGCATTAATATGAGTAATCATTTTGTTTTAGGCACAATTATCAATGCATTATCTGAAAGACCCTAGCCTTGGCTAGAACTCAGTCAGGCTTTTTGCTGGATCCGCCCCTGCAGTTGGTTAAGCTATTGGCCTGAGTTTCATATTAGATACGTCTCTAAATTTGCAATCTACAAATGTTGAGCGGTGTTCAGTAAAACGTTGAGAACGTTTTAACGGGGCTTAATGTGCGCATTGCTGTCTTGCAATGATATGTTATGATAAGATGACATCACAATTTACTTACAAAATCATAGCAACACATGAGGATGTCAAGTGATTGCATACAGTTTTGATAACTGGCTCTTTTAACAAAATGTTAAAAAAACGCCAGAATTATGCTAGATTTCAAATAATTCCCGATTTTATGATAAATGATGAATTTTTGGTCAAAATCATGCTAAAAACATAAGTTTATGCCAGATATGTTGACATTGTCATAAACTGCTAGATGAAGAGGCGACCGGGCTCTGCCAATTATCTGAAACATATCGTTGTTATAGAGTTTTGTACAATCTGTTGGGTCCACAATTTTTAGCGGTGCCTCTATCTCAAAATTTGATGATGGACGAAGTATAAGATGCAAAATAAAAAAAATCACCATTTTGTGTAAACCGTTTGGTATTAAATCCATAAGTATTTCATTTTACATATCCGCCGATCACATTACTTACTTTCAACTCTAACTCCAACCAACTCACTAACTAATTTTATGTTACAGCATACATAATCATATTCACTGTGACTTGTCGTTTGACATTTACCAAGTGTATGTCCTTATGGAGAATCAAAACATGTAATTTCGTACTGTTCTAAATCAAATATTAATTATTACTCTACTTGGGGTCTTAAGAATAATATATTAATTATCATAATCAACATTTTAATTATTACCCTACCTGCTACCGTGTACATCAGCACGTATTACACTACCGAATATAAAAGTTACTGTATGGGGTCTTAAGAAGATGCTTAGAAGGGTCTGGGCCCCAACACAATCTGGATTGTCTAAAGGGTGTTGCCCGATGGCAGAGTCACTAGTTTTTACTGTGTTTTCAGACTTACACGATCGAGAATGCTGTTATCTTTGAGGGGCAGTTTTGTTCCTTTTATGGGAAGAAACTTGTTTTTTATCCTACCCCCTAATCTTTGGGTTGGGTTGTGATTGGCCTATTTCGATCCACAACTGGGTAAATATTTTTCATCGTGCTCTTTCAGACCCTTATTCTGACGTTTTATGCTCTGAGGAGTGTCAGGTGAAAGAGCTTTCAGTCAAAATGGTGTAAAATTTTTGCTTTTTTCAATGCTATTTTCAAGTTTTTTGCCGACCAAAAACTGTTCAGAAGAAGAAATATATTATATAGAAAGATGTTGAAGTTAACAGTCTCTTTGGATCGGGCAGGTGAATTAATCCTTTCAAGGTTGTTTCCGAAGACAGCGTGTCATGTACCAGTTGTTCTCGACATATCAATTAACGTCTATTCTCTTGTATTCTCTCGCTGCGTCTGAGTTCTGCGTCTAGAGTCTTTTACGCCGTTGCCTTTCAAACTCTCTTTCAGCTGCTTATTCTTCTTCAAAAGAGCTTTTGTGCTGGTTGGTGTCGTTGGAGGTGCCTCGGGTATTGGCAAAGTTTTCTGCTGCCGATGATAAATTCTAGCTTTACTACAAACATTACAAATTTCTTCCTTCTTGGTATTGTTTATTTGGTTTGGTTGCGCTTTTCTTTCTTCGTTTTCTAAATGTATACATGTAATGTTGATTTTCTGGGATTCGCGGTGCATTTTATTGGAAAAAAGTGATACATCATTGGCATTATTGTCACCAAGCGATTTATGCTGAATCTTCTTGTCAGCTTTAATTAATTTACTGGAGCTTTTAGGCCGAAAAGGCACTCCAAGGCCCAGAATATCGGCATTTGCTTCTAAGGCATCAGCTAAGAATTTATTCACTCGGTCGCTTTTTGTGTTCAGTTCTTTGAGAGCCTTGTTTGTGGTTTGGCTAAGTTTATCTTCATCTGACGTCGAAAACTGACCTTGGTTCTCTCGACTCGCACTATCACAGCATCTGTCCTGCAAATCTAAATTCTTTACGGCAAATGCCTCTGTCAGCTTCAGGCACAGTGCTTCTGTGTCGATCCCACGAAAGGAGAGTCCATTTATTTTTCTTTTTTTATCTGGATACCCAAGACGATGCTTTGGCATCTGGTTCCACACTGATATACCACTATTCGCCATCCTGCTGTCTTTCTTGACAAGTTCTATTGTTGTTCCAATGTACCTCCTTTCTGCCTCATCATACTTCGTTATCACTTTCGACATATCAGCAATTGAGGTTATGGAACCAAACTGTTTTGCAGAGCTTTGCTTTTCATCTTTTGTTTGAATATTTTCCAATGTAGATGTATGTTCTTTTGAAAAAGTTGCTTCTTTTCCGAGTGGAAACCTTTTAACATTGAGTATGTCGCTGCACCTTTTTACCAAAGAATCCGACTTTGATCGTCTTTTGCTAGATTTTATTTCATTCTGTAAAGACTGGCACTTCTTCTTAGTGCTCGCCGATAAACTTGCAACTTCCAAAGGGCTTCTTTGACCCATCATGCCAATAGGACTTGATCTAGATGTTCGAAGGACACCATTTTTGGGCTCATCTTTGGCATGGTTCATTGGGTGATTGCTGTCGTTTTCGTGACAGCTTTTGCCACGTATTGTCAAATGCTCTGTTGTCCAGCACTGCTTAGTCCCAAAATGTACAATTTCGGAGAGTCTAGAAGATATAAAATTGTTTGAGTTGTCTAATATGAAACATTAAATTACATGTTTTGATGAAACATGTCAATTTATTGCAGCAAGAAAAGGCTTAAGTTTGTTTTACTACATTTATCAAAAGGCTTGCTATTGCATTATATCTACTGGCTTAAGAGAGGGTTTCAATATTATTTGAGAAAAATGATTTATTACACTACTGAAACGAACGATTCGTTGACAAAAACAAGCCTGTCAGTATTATTTGGATAACACTGTTATTAAATCGCGAGGCGAAAAAGCCAATAGCGGCTGAATAAATTTGCTAAATCTAAAGAGCATTTCTAAGGCAGTTTCCTAGAAAGAATTTTACAGGCATAAATTCTTGAACAGGAATAAAGAGGTAAATAAATCAAAGTAAGCTTTTCCTAAAGAGAAAAATTCAAGGTGCTTATTGAGAATGGTGAAATTTTGGATTTTTCATATCTTATGTCATTAAACATTTATTAGAAATAATAAATGAACTGGGTATTTTGGTCGTTTAAGAGCTTGTAATCTGTAAGGTAATCGTCTTTTCTTCAGTCAAAAGCCCTTATCAAACCTTAAATCTTTATCATTGAATAAATATGTCTCTCCTCAGCGCAATACTAACAGCAGTGTATGGCCAAAAGAACCAAATGCTGTCATTTAAACATGCTTATTTGCACCCTTACTGAAACGCAGTCTTGTAAACCACTTGGTTTATGGCGTGGTGGTTTAGAAGCATACACTTAGACCTTGTAATACTATTTCACTGAATGTTTTCTCCCTGAGACTTCTTGCAAAGTGATATTGGAGGGCGAACAGCATTATAATTGAAGCGTTTTCGTTATGTCTTCCACTAGCATTATCATGACTGATTGCCGTTCTGAAAGCTAGTAACTATCAAACTAGCCAAAGCAAAAATGAAACAAACAAGCTGCTTTAGTGTTAAGCTTTAATATTGTCAAATTTTCATGAAGCATTTGCCAGCTCTCCAATGTAAGTTCATTTGTTGCTGCTAAAAAGATGCAACGGAACTCCGATTATATAGTAGAAAAGAAGCTGATGCAGCTTTTAAAACATTCAACAATTGACTGCGTTAATCTTACAAACCTCTAAGATGATACTTCAGTGACTATTGGCTAAGTCGCGAGGGAAAGCAAGCTAATTGGCAATTTTTCATTATTCTAAATACATTTCTCTTTCCTAAACATTAACATTGCAACTCGTCAAAATCCAGGCGGAATTTGCTTTTTCAAACAATGTAAAATCTGCAGTAACAAAATGCCAAGGAGACAAACGGTTACAAAATATTGACGAAGACTCCCTCTCTAAATGACTTTTGTGATTATCGACAAGTTTGCACAGTTACCTTGTATCGGCGGTGTCTTGAACCATTTGCTTTTCTTGATAGTGCTCTCTCGTTAATGACTCCATTGTAGACTTTGCTTATTGTCTAGTTTCTAATTGTTTTCTGCTTGCAACCTTTTTAAAGTAACCATTCATCAATGATTCATGGCATTTTACATAAAACATGCTTTGATACTAGCGAGGTTTAGTTTGCTTCATTTCGAACATCTATTATTCATATGTATGGTCTTAAGTTCTTTAATCTCCTTATCTGTGCTGACAAGGAAAGCCATTTGAATTTGGAGCTGAATTTCAGTTACGCGCAACTTCTAGGCAAGGCTTGTTAAGCTTATTGGTTATTTACACTATTTTAGCAACCGCTTTTCTGTCACCATACAATATACAAGCTAGAATCAAGTATGTTTATTGCAACGGTTGCCATTTTGCAAATTTAATTATGCTCTTTGAACTGCGGTTTTAAGAAAGGCCTTGATATCGATTCATCGGAAAAGGATTCCTTGCAGAAAATCAAAAAATAAAATGTGTCGCTCATTAAACTATAAGACATCTGGACTGGATGCATCAAGAAGACCAATCTCATCTTCTGAGTAATGATAACAAGAACAAAGAAAAATGTCTTTCTGTTTCACAATAAAAACACGTTTTACCAAAGACTGTTAAAAGAAAACTATTACAAGCAACTCTCAATGCTTAGCTATGGGTACGTGCTTTATTCAACAATAAATTATAAATTAGCTTACAATAAATGGAAAACGTGTAGGTAATATTAAAATATCGAAATTATGATTCAAACGATGATTACTTCTACATGATTTCAGCGAATAGTTTTTTATCAAGGGGCGTGGCCTAAAAATTATTATTTTGTCCAGAGAAACCAAATGGTTTTTCCAGAGGTGAATAAATCTGTTCTGTTCTGTTCTGTTCTGTTCTGTTCTGTTCTGTTCTGTTCTGTTCTGTTCTGTTCTGTTCTGTTCTGTTCTGTTCTGTTCTGTTCTGTTCTGTTCTGTTCTGTTCTGTTCTGTTCTGTTTTGTTCTGTTACTGTTGTTCTGGTTCTGTTTGTTTCTTGTTCTGTTCTGTTCTTTCTGTTCTGTTCTGTGTCTGTTCTGTTCTGTTCTGTTCTGTTTCTGTTCTGTTCTGTTCTGTTCTGTTCTTTGTTCTGTTCTGTTCTGTTCTGTTCTGTTCTGTTCTGTTCTGTTCTGTTCTGTTCTGTTCTGTTCTGTTCTGTTCTGTTCTGTTCTGTTCTGTTCTGTTCTGTTCTGTTCTGTTCTGTTCTGTTCTGGTTCTGTTCTGTTGTTCTGTTCTGTTCTGTTTTTCTGTTCTGTGTTTGTCTGTTCTGTTTGTTCTGTTCTGTCTGTTCTGTTCTGTTCGTTCTGTTCTGTTCTGTTCTGTTCTGTTCTGTTGTTCTGTTCTGTTCTGTTCTGTTCTGTTCTGTTCTGTTCTGTTCTGTTCTGTTCTGTTCTGTTCTGTCTGTTCTGTTCTGTTCTGTTCTGTCTGTTCTTCTGTCTGTTCTTTCTGTTCTGTTCTGTTCTGTGTTCTGTTTTTTTCTGTTCTGTTCTGTTCTGTTCTGTTCTGTTCTGTCTGTTCTGTTCTGTTCTGTTCTGTTCTGTTCTGTTCTGTTCTGTTCTGTTCTGTTCTGTTCTGTTCTGTTCTGTCTGTTCTGTTTCTGTTCTGTTCTGTTCTGTTCTGTTCTGTTCTGTTCTGTTTTTCTGTTCTGTTTCGTTCAGTTGTCTGTTCTGTTTCTGTTCTGTTCGTTGTTTCTGTTCTGTGTTCTGTTCTGTTTGTTCTGTTCTGTTCTGTTCTGTTTTTCTGTTCTGTTCTGTTCTGTTCTGTTCTGTTCTGTTCTGTTCTGTTCTGTTCTGTTTCTGGTTCTGTTCTGTTCTGTTCTGTTCTGTTCTGTTCTGTTTCTGTCTGTTCTGTTCTGTTCTGTTCTGTTCTGTTCTGTTCTGTTCTGTTCTGTTCTGTTCTCTGTTCTGTTCTGTTCTGTTCTGTTCTGTTCTGTTCTGTTCTGTTCTGTTCTGTTCTGTTCTGTTCTGTTCTGTTTGTTCTGTTCTCGTTCTGTTCTGTGTTCTGTTCTGTTTTTCTGTTCTGTCTGTTCTGTTCTGTTCTGGTTCTGTTCTTTCTGTTCTGTTCTGTTCTTGTTCTGTTCTGTTTGTTTCTGTTCTGTTCTGTTCTGTTCTGTTCTGTTCGTTCTGTTCTTGTTCTGTTCTGTTCTGTTTGTTCTGTTCTCTACATCAGGCAAATTTAAACCCTGTATCGTTCAAGAATAGATCAAGAATATTCTTAAGCTCAAATTAAAGAAAATTATGAAATTCACAGTTGAAAAAAAATGGTATCTTTATAAAAAAGTTCATTTAGCTTGCTCTTGGGTCATTCCTCTTGCTATTGGTTGAACAGCTTGCTCTTAAGTTGTTTTATCTTGGGTCGTTCAGCTTGTTTTTGGGTCATTCCTTTTGTTCTTGAGTTCTACAGCTTGTACTATGATGTTTAGCTTGTTCTTTAAGGCTGATTTCCACGAGGCGAAATTCGCAGCGAATTCGCGGCAAATTCGCTGCGAAATTATATAATAATTTCCTCGAAAACTCAACTTTAAGGCGCCTATTTTAAGAACTGCACGCATGACGAATGTTCCAAGATTATTTTCTTACAAATCAAGCAAATTTACCATGCTTTGACTGGTTATTAGGTGCTGCGAAATATTTCGCCGAGAAAAATGAGAACTCTTTTCTACTTTCTTGCGAATTCGCTGCGAAATCAAAAATCAAAACTGCGCATGCCTTGCTGCCTTCATCAGCGATTTCGCCGTGAATTCGCTGCGAAATTCGCCTCGTGGAAATCAGCCTTTAGTTGCTCCTTTTGTTCTTGGATCGTTCAGTTCGTTCTTGAGGCCTTTTTCTTGTTTACGGAATGCTCAGCTTGTTCTTTGGTCGTTTAGCTTGTTTTTAGGTCATACCTTTTGTTCTAGGGATGTGGAGATTGTCTTTTATTTTTGCTCTGAGATGTTGAGCTTGTTCTTGGGTCGTTCAGCTTGCTTTAGGAATATTTCTTTTGTTCTAAGCACATTTAACTTGTTCTTTTGCTGTTCCTCTTGTTATTCAGATTGTTCTTGGGTCATTAAGCTTGTTATTTTCTGGGTTGCATGGCTTGGGTTATCCAGTTTCTTACGATGTATGATGAATTTAGTAGATTGGGACCCGTCAAAATGGGATAGGTATATCGGGAAGCCTGAGATATCAGAACTCAAACATGGAATGCTAATCCAAATAAGCTCTAGTCTGTTTTTATGACTATTTCACCTGTTCTCAAAGAATTGAAGTGAATGGAAGGGAGCAGCTGATTACGGTGTTACTTTTCATATCACTTTTGAAAGAGTTCCTATTTTCCAAACCTCTTTTTAAAGAAGCAGAGTAGATTTTATCGCAAATCATCATTGCCTCTAAAACGTCAAGCAGAACTATTTATAGCAAGTAATTGGAAAAGGTCAACATAAAAAATACGCTAATTATCCAAAAACAAGAACATAAAGTTACGCCAAACTACCTTGTTCTAGTAAGAAGTTTTCTCCTGCAGCTAATCTCACGAACCCCTATATATAACATAAAATTTTCAAATAATTCTTAGCAGCACTGATGACTATTGATGACTGTACAATCAGTCCTTTTAAACTATGGTTTTCGGGTCTTTTAAAGAAAATGGTCCATCCAAATTTTCCCGGAAAATATCCTTCCAACGCTCGAGCACCGTTCCACAGCCCTTCTTTTTTGTAGTTCCTGCTTAATCAGTATTGCATTATTTTTAGTATATTGTCATTGAATAAATTTTTATAAGGATAATTTTATTAGAATACGAGCCTCAAAGTTGGTCAAAAGTTAAAAATACAATTTTGTGAAATCCCATCGAAACATGTCATCTAAAAAAGATGGGCTTTTGCCATCTATGGGGTGCTTTTTAGTGAGTTTCCAAACTATTCAGCAAGTAAAGGATAGCTTTCTCGCTTTGTCTCACTCATCTTGTTGGCAATTGAGGCCTTAACATCAGAGCTAGCTAGCAATTGCACTGCTTTTACACCTTACACCCTAATAATTTAAGAGCAGACTAAGAACAATCCAGAAAAAATTAATTAAGCGCAGTCAGTCTGAACTCTAATTTATCCTACTTGCATGGACCCTAATTAAGTGTGAGTCTCCAGTGTCCTTTAATATTTTCACTCCCAACCCCACCCCCCCCCCTCTTTCCAAGTCTTCCTCACCTGCATCATTTGTCGCAAGAGCTAGAGCAATCAGCTAGAGTTGCAAATGTTGCAGAAGATTTGGCGAGGCTACCATAGTTAAAGAGAGGTTTGTTTGTGATTGACCGTTACTGTTTCTTTGGTTGGCTTGGTACAAATTCAGCAAAAACCGGTATGTCGATTTTTATCTGAAGCTTAAACCTTTTAACCTTTTGTCTTTTACATCGAAATGAAATCATACCAACTTCCACTCGTCTATTGTGCTAAGAATGAATAATTTTTTCTGTGTTATTTTTCACTTCACGAAGGTACGTAGAAGAACAGCTGGGCAACGCATCATAGTTTGTCATAGTTCAGCCCTGCCCATGGCTTTACTGCCTTTTCATGCCCCGTGGTCCCTGTCATGTATGCAATGCTCTACACGACAAGATCAATTCATTATATGCAAGATCAATTCTAAATTTATAGCCAAAACTTACATTTTTATAACCATAACCATAAACTTATAAATTTATACCAAGTTATCAGCCCTTTTCATGTTGCTGGTTCGTTTGCATCTTCAACTCGTTTATTTAGGTTGAAGGCACAAATGTGCTATTTTCTTCGCTTAAGTTGTAACTGAATAGCAATTTTTGTTGAAGAATTGTGAACTTTGAAGCTTCTGAAAACATTTTTTTGTTACAAAACATAAATTAATAATAAGTGAAAAGGTAGTGAATATGAACAAAATGGGTTTATATTGAATGATTATAAATTTTTTTATGAATTCAATTTACGAGTAGAGACATAATTGGTAATTTTGATATCAATATTGTTGCAAGCAAAGCAAAGACAACTGACTTTTGAAAAACTTCACCAAATATTGCTCAAACTATTGCTCCAAATCTTAACATTTGATCAAGAATTATAATTTATGTTCCACCTTTAAACTTTATCCAGAAGACTCTTTCAAGGCTTCACAAAATTTATTTATTCATGAATTAATAAAATAGATATCAATTGGGTAAATTCCGCATCAGAGGCTGTTTGCATAATAGTTTCACATTGCCCACTAAACAAAAACAGCCTAGGTAAAGTTAGCAAAGAAAATATTTGACCGAAACCTCCTACAGTTGACCTACGAATCGTTGCCTCTTGCCAGACTAAGCAGACACAGTTTACAAGAGCAAATTGCTTCAAATCATGAGACCTGTGAAAAACCTTGTTAACAACATCTATGATATTTTGGGTGTCAAGCTACTAACAAGGCTTCGAGTTAGTTTCAGTCCACTGAATGAACACAGATTTCAGTATGATTTTGACTGCTTGAGTCCAGTTTGTATTTGTGGTACAGGAAAGAAAGATAATGAGCATTACATCCTGCACTGCCCCCAGTTTACAGCTCAGCGCCAAGATCTCCTTAGTCAAGTCTCAGATGTCTGATATGATGTTGCTAGCATGAACTCAAAGGATCTTTGCCAGTTGTTGTTATATGGGAACCCAAATGGAAGCACCTTTGCAAACAGAATCATCCTAGAAGCAACTATTTCTTTCATTAAAACTACTGGACGCCTCAATTAAACTTTCTGGAAAAACAGCAGCCTAACCCCTCTTTTTCCTCCTTTTCTTTGTTTTTTTTGTTTTTTTTCTAATTATTTTCTTCTTTGTCTTGATTTAGGGTGTATATGTATTTTACCCTTATCTTTTGTTGGTTAATTTACCGTTCTTATTTCTCAGAACATTGTAAGTGGCATTTGTAGTGAGGACTCGGTGACCCTGCGTCTTTCCTCGCTACAAATGCCATAGTGTCATGATTAACCTTGCTGTTTTCAAACTTTTGATTGATAAAAAACTGACAAATCATTAATTTTGGAATTTCAACTTAGAACTGTCCTGTTCTTTACATCGAAGGTGTGACTTTACCCTCTAAATGGGCCATTTAATATAGTATGAAGCCCTCTTAGAAATAAATTCCCTTTAAAACAATGAAGTTTATATTATTTTGCATGCTATGTTAGCCAATTTTCAAACTTCTTGGTAAATAAAAATGACTCATTGACATTGTTTGCTGCTGGTACTTAGATATATTCTTGAGCACCATAGCTAGAGAAACTGCCCTCCACACTGGCGACAAAGGGTATTATACAAGGTCTTTCTCAGCGTGTTTTAATTACTGGTATTATAAAAATCAAATGAACCTTCAAAATCACAACAGAGCAATAAAAGCAAGGATACATACGAGGGACCTATCAATCAAAATATTAAGGAAAAATATTAAGGGTTTTATTGGGCTAGGAGAAGTGGCGTAGCTTGACCTTCCAGACTAAGAGGTGGAGTAGTAAAATTTACTGACAAAGACATAGATCAAGAAAATTTAGGTGCTATTTCACCTAATGATAAACAATTTAACTGACAAACCAGGGAATTTTTGCACCAACTAAAAATTCACTGACAAGCTCATGAAGAATTGGGGGTGGTGGTGTCACACCCTCTACACACCCTGTTAGCTATGCCTCTGACTAGGAAGGAAATGAACAGAAATAAAGAAAACAGAGTGTGATGGAGCAATCAAATAAGTGTTATATTTATATGAATTTATTTTACACTACTTATCACAAGCAAAGGCTGACATCAAAACTTTTTTAACCATGGAGGCAAAACTTAATTTTCCATCACTTTCCTTGGTCAGAATCCATCTCTGGTTGTCTCTACATAAGACTAATGATAAAAGCATCTTTGAGCTACTGCCAGTAAAAAATTTCAATCTGTATGAGCTTTGAAGAGTAATTTTGGGACAAATTAGTTTATTTAATGAGCATAGTCATATCATTGCTAAAAAATGGCAGCAACTGTAAAAAAAAATTACATTAGCAAATCATCTTTTTTATGATGCTGTTGTTAATCGAATTATCACAAAATAAAATACAGTTACCTAAGGGATTTTTGAAGGCTTTTTGATTGTATCAAACAATCTTCAAGCCTCATGATTGGCATGAATTTCGACTAGTCCCTTAAACCAATTCATTAGATATTCAATTGCTGAGTAAGTTAGACCAGCAAGATTATACAAAATGATCATTTCAAGAACTTATTGTCACAAGAGATCTTTATATTTCTCGGAACACCTTGAATGTTCCCAGCTAAGGGTGCAGGAGAGCATGCAGACCAAAAATTTTTTATACCAAAATGGAGAAATATGATAGATATAAGTAATTTGATATCAATCCTTGCGTTTATTTGACTATTTTTAGTGCTCAATGAGCATAGGGAGGTTTCTTGCTAAAAATTGAAAAATCAAGTTTGTCCAATAAATTGGGAATTGGCAGTCTCAGCCATTTGATTTGACTTTTAAAAACCACTTTCGAAAATTATAGAATATCTGGTATCTTTAGAAACACTGACCTTATATTCTAGAGAATTAACCTTTTGTTTAAGAAATTTAATTCATGAAACAGTTAAGTTTCCATCAGATTTAAAAATAAGTAAAATCCTCAATTCAGTTGAGATTGTACATCAACAAAACCCTTTTACTGGTTTTCAATGCCAGTTCTCGTTAAATTTATCGCTACTTTGCAAATGCATATATGTTTCATGACATGTTATCACATCATTAATGTTTTCCTCTATTTATGTTCTGTTTTGAATCATTTCTTTGTGTTTTATAGCTGTTTTTATCGAGCTTATCTACATTCGCAGAACTTAAACTCTCACATAAAAAAAACAAAAGACAGAGATAGCGACACCTGGGTTCAAGACCTCCAGCCACAACAATCCCAACAAGGTTGAGTAAGACTATATTGCGTGGTGGCATCATTCAAAAGAATTTGTCGCTTCAGTTGATTACTATTGAGAGTGTTGCAACTTTAAACCTGACTGGTCACCAACTCGCTGCAGTGCAGGTGACACTGTTACAAAGCATGGCGATGAAACTAAGCCAATTTCATCGTTTTCTCTTTTACGGTCTTCATGGCCTGCTAGATGAAATTGTTTTTACGAGCTTACACGACAGCATGCTAGTGGAGCGAGACTTTTCTTTGAAAGGCCATTCTTCCATTTGGGCGTTCTTTATCTATGGAACAGGGAGCCTCGTCGTTGAGTATATCTACAGAAGGTGGTCCTTAGGCAAGCTCAATTTTCTTCTGCGTGGGATTGCTTACGCTGCAATAGCTTTCTTTTGGGAATTCAACACTGGACTTTTACTAAAGCAGTTTGCAGCTTGTCCATGGGATTACACGCACAAAGATTACGATTTTATGGGGCTCATAACACTAGACTACGCCCCACTTTGGTGCATGGCTGGATTTTATCAAGAGTATGTCACAGAGTTCCTGGATAGTTTAAGAATCACGAGCAATGAAATGGCAGTCACTGAAGATTTAGCAAATGGTATCAAACCTAAGCATGAATGAACTATACTTAGCAGCCGTCGTTGGTATTATTCTAGCAGTGTTCACCAGTGTTGTCTGGTTCATGTTATTGCAACTATCTTGAAACTAATTTTTTAAAGTTGCCGTTTTTAGCCCCATTTTGAAAATTACTTTTTTGTTACCTCTAAAGCCTTGTTTTCGGAGTCAGCCAAACATCTTTATTTAGGTACTCACACGGAACGTTGTAGATTTTACTTAGATTTTACCTATAAACAGTGCCAATGGCGATGTTCACTCACTTGTTGTCCATATGTTGAGTTTCAATATGTTGTCCTGTGTAATGTTATGTTGTATGTAAGTTAAATCTGAGCTAAAGTTTGGCGTTTTCTGTTCTTAATTCTGTTTTTTTCAGTTCTGCATTCTTAAGTAGTTTTCAAATTCTTAGTTAGGCATATGAAATTTTGAAGCATTTGTTTATTAGCATTAATCTAGAAATTGGATTTCTTTGTTTCTTTCTTATGTGTTCTACAAAGAAGCTCTTTTTTAAAGTGCTTTATTGGATGTGATGCTTCCGATAGACAGCTTAACAGGTGAGCCAGACGTTCTTTGATCCATCAAATTGAAATCAAATTTGATCTATTCTAAAAAGCTATTTTACGAGCGAACTATTCGTTTCTGCTCTGGTTTGATTTTCATGAAGTTAAACCTTGCCATATTTAAGAAAATTTTATCACTGAACAACTACATTTCGAAACTAAGAAAAATAAAACTGATGCTATATGTCAACGAGAGAAAGGAAAACAGCAACAGAAGCAGGAACAAACTGTTTTTGGCTTTCCTTGCTTTTCATATAATTTTTGAAGAAAAACACGATGACGTTTTAAATGAAAGAAATGAAAATGTTCATCGGGAGCCAGATGAAAATGGAACCGTCGTCAGCACTTAAACACGATCTGAATGAATCTTCTTTCTGAAAAGGCCTGAATAAACAGGAGATGCCGAAAGCTCGATAAGATCTAGCATCGAGAAAAAGTCAGCAAGATTCTGTGTGTCGGTTTTTTGGTTTATTGCAATTGATGATAAGCTTAATGACATAGATAGTCTCTCCCGTAAAAGATACGATCGATGTAGGTAGGGGAAATTTGTACCAGAAATACAGTTGGGTTGAAGCGCTAGGAAGGTTTTCCTTATAAATAGCTTGCAAACCCGTTTATTACACTAGCAGTGACAGTACCCAACAACGATATAAACTTGAAAATTGGCTCACTCCACATCTATAAATAATCAACAAGCCACGATGACAACTTTTGTTAGTTATTATTATGCACTGAATAGATAAATTTCAGCACTGCTTTTTTTATACCGAGAGGCTGCCGGTTTACAAAATGAAAAGGACAAAGAAAGTATTAAAAACAATGTATCAACTAAAAGACATAATGTTTTAATTAGCGATGCTAATTCAATTACCACGATGAAGACTGTATGTCCTTTGGTACAGTTAAATTCCTGTGCAAATTGAATGGAATATGATTTTTTTAATAAGGGGATTGCTGTTCTTTTCAACCCCGTCTTTTTCACAAGTGACGTATTTTATAAGAATTCTCATGATAGTCACACACCTGCCATGACACACAGACAGAAGTAGTTTTGGGTCTTTCGGCAATAGAGTACAATGAAATAATTATGGATTGTCACATCTTTTTTCTGAAGGCGAGTCTGAAGGGACATAATACCTTTCCACGATCGCGATAAGGGGCGGAGGGTTCTATGAAATAGCCTATACTGACGTTCTTTCATGCCAGTTTTATATAAATCTGCAATGGCATGGACATTGTGTAAACAGGGTCCAAAAGAACGTCTCTGAAACCCCCCGAAACACGAAATAATAGAGGATATCTGCACCAGTGTCCTCCTTTGAGACGGCAATGTTTGGGCATTCAACAATAGCTCATCAATAATTAATCAACTGTAGAGAAAGCGGAAAGCGCTCAAACAATGAGAGGACGTGGCTAATCGACATTATTAGTCATATTAAAATAGTCATATTAATGTTAGTTGGAGGTTGAACCGCTCGGCCCCTTACAATGCCAGAAATTGTTTTGCATAACATTAAAACATTGCACTTTTGCTGGCTTCTTGCCATTTTCTGCTGCTACTCCGCGATCAAAGGATCAACAGGTAATACAAGTTCTCATTTTGAATTTTAATAATTTTGTTAAGTTCGAGAGCCCCTCGTAACTATATTTAAAAC